TAAATTGAAATAGAGCCAACTTTTCAGATATGAGAGAAGATTTAGCTAAAATAGACTGGGGAATTAGATTAAAGGATATGACAGTAGACCAGCAATGGTGAATCTTTAAAGATATAGTACATAATTCCCAGCGATTGAGGAATAAAAATATCACGGGAAAAGTGGTTCAATCATGGCTAACAAGAGCAGTTAGGGAAAGTATAAAATTAAAAGAGACCTATAGTACTCCCAAAAATAGCAGTAAACCCGAGGATTGGGAGGGCTTCAGAGACCAACAAAGAAAAACTAAGAAAATGATTAGGAGGGAGAAAATGGATTATGAGGGCAAACTAGCGAGGAACATAAAGACAGACTGCAAGAGTTTTTACAAATACATAAAGATGAAGAGACTAGCAAACGTGAATGTGAATCCATTACAGGCAGAGACAGGAGGAATTATAATGGGGGACAAAGATATGGCATTAAACAAATACTTTGCTGCTGTCTTCACATTAGAAGACATGGAAAACTTACCAAAAATAGAGGGGATCCAAAAAGCTAATGTTAGTGAGCAACTTCGGGAAATTAACATCAGTAAAGAATTAGTACGAGAGAAACTGTTGGAATTGAAAAATGACAAATCCCCTGGACCTGATGGCCTACATCATAGGGTTTTAAATGGCTGCTGAGATAGTGGATACCTCATTTTTGATCTTCCAAAATTCTCTGGATTCTGGAACGGTTCCCATTGATTGTAAGATCGTAAACGTAACACCACTATTTAAGAAGGGTGGGAGAGAGAAGGTGAGGAGCCATAGATAACAACAACAACAACAACAAGATTACATTTGTACTGCGCCTTTCACATTCCCAAGGCGCTGGACAGTGTACAGCATTTCAGACCCAAGATGGGGTCAGGGGGGTAGAACGGGGGGGAGGGGAAGGGGGGTGGCTGATGACAAGGTGAAAGAGGAGGGTTTTGAAGCGAGACTTGAAGGAGGCTAAGGAGGTGGAGAGGAAGAGTGATGCGGGGATGGAGTTCCAGAGGTTGGGGGCAGAGTGACTGAAAACTCTCCCGCCAATGGTGGGGCAGGTGGGCCAGGGGACGTGGAGCAGGCTGGAGACGGCTGAGCGGAGGGAGCAGGCGGGTTGGTAGGGGGTTAGGAGGTTGCAGAGGTAGGGTGGGGTGAGGCCATGGAGAACTTTGTAGGTGAGGACCATGACCTTGAACTGAATCCTCTGAAGGGTAGGGAGCCAGTGGAGTTGGGTAAGGATGAGGGAGATGGGGTCACAGAGTTTGGTGCGGGAGAGGACATGGGCTGCAGAGATCTGGATTATCTGCAGCCTGTGGAGGGAGGAGTTGGGAAGGCCAACAAGCAGGGCGTTTGCATAGTCGGACCTGGAGGTGATGAAGGCATGAACAAGAGTTTCAGTGGCCTGAGGGGTGAGGTAGTGGCAGAGTCAGGCAATATTACGGAGGTGAGGGAAGGCAGAGTGGATCATGGCTTGGATGTGGGGAAGAAAAGACAGTTGAGGGTTGAACCTAGGTTCCTGACTGGCTTGGTGAGTTGTAGTGAGAAACCATGGAGGTTGATGCTGCCAGAGCCTGAAGTGCTGAGGCGCTGGCGTGAGCCAATCAGGAGGGCCTCAGTCTTGTTCACATTCAACTGTAGGAAATTTGCCCTCATCCAGGACTTGATGTCCGACAGACAGTCTGTCAGGACAGCAGTGGTCCTGGAGTTGAGGGTGGAGACAGAAAGATATGGAAGTTGACCCCGTGTCTGCGGATGATGTCACCATGGGGGAGCATGTAGAGATTAAAGAGGAGAGGGCCAAGGACAGAGCCCTGGGGGGACACCAGACATGACAGTGCGGGGTCTGGAGGAGAAACCGTTAGAGGCAACAAAGTGGAGACTGTGAGAGAGATAGGAATCGAAACAGGCAAGGGCAGGTCCGCGAAGATTAAGTCAAGAGGAGAGGAGGTGTATAAGGATGGAGTGGTCAACAGTGTCGAAGGTGGCAGAGAGGTTGAGGAGGACAAGGAGGCAGAGGGAGCTCTGATCTCAGATGTTCAGAATGTCATTGTTACTTTGACCCGGGCTGTTTCCGTGCTGTGGGCAGCGCAAAAGCCGGAATGGAGGGGTTCAAAGAGGGAATGGCGAGAAAGAAAGGAGCAGAGCTGGGACGCGACAACTCGTTCCAGGACCTTGGAGAGGAATGGGAGGTTAGAGATGGGGCAGTAGCTGGAGAGGAGGGATGGGTCCAGGGAAGGTTTTTTCTGGATGGGAGTGATGACGGCTGTTTTTAGGGGGGTGGGAACTGAACCGGTGGACAAGGAGAGGTTGATGACGTTGGACAGTAGAGGGGTCAGAAGGTGGAGCTGGGAGATGAGGAGAGAGATGAGGATGGGATCGAGGGAGCAGGTGGTGGGTTTGAGTTAGAGAACAATCGCAGAGAGGGAGGAGGTAGAGATAGGGTCGAAGGAGTATAGGGGGGATGGGTGGGGTGTTGGTCATGAGGGAGAGGTAATGTGGGGGTGATGGTGGACGGGGCTGAGGTGGCTGAATGTATCCCCTCAATTTTGGATTCAAGGAAGTCCAGCATCTCCTCACAGTTGGAGTTTGAGGAGAGGATGGGCGAGGCGTGGGAAGGTGGACGGAGGAGACGGTTTGTGGTGGAAAAGAGAAGCCTGGGGTTGTCCTTTGCCTCCAAGATAACCTTGGAGTAGAAGGAGGATTTGGTGGAGGAAAGAGCGCAGCGGTAGGTCTTGGTATGGTGAAGCCAAATCTGCTGATGAACCATAGTTTGGATTTGGTCCAGGCGCGTTCAGCAGCTCGCACTTGTGCCTTGAAGAAATGGAGGTGGCTGGTGTACCAGAGGGATTTACAGGAGTAAGAGGCAGTTTGGGAGGTGAGGGGGTCAAGGGAGTCCAGAATGGAGGAGAGGGAGTTGTGGAAAAACAAGAGTGAGGAGGGGAGATCGGTCAGGGAGGGCCAGAGGTGTGGGAGTTCAGATGACTCCAGGGCAGTGGAGAGGGACAGGAAGGAAACTTTTTTCCATGGACATTATGTGATGGTGGAGGGTTGAGAAAGGGGAAGGGATATGGAGGTGCTGAAGGAGATGAAGTGGTGGTCCGAGATGGCTTTATCGATGATGGTGATGTCGGAGACGGTGAGGCCCCGGGTGATCACCAGGTCAAAGAAGTGGCCACAGTATTGGGGAGTGGATGAGGATGAAGAGATTAAGGGAAGAGAGGAGGGAAGATAAGTCAGCAGAGGTAGAGCAAGAGGGTGTGAAGTGGAGGTTGAAGTCGCCTAAGATTAGGAGGCGTGCAGAGCAGAGGGAGAGGGAAGATAGGAGGGTGGAGATGTCCGAGAGGAAGGTGGGGAAGGCTTGGGGGGTCAGTAAAGAAGGAGGATTTTGAAGGAAAACCTGGAGGGGTGGTAGAAAGTAAGGTGTTAAAGGAGGGGAAGGTTCCAGAGGAGAAAGGGGAAAGGCCTAGGGGGGACCAGGAGATGAGCGCCACACCACCGCCACAATGATTAGGCCATGGGGTTTGGTGAAAAGTGTAACCTGGAGGGTCAACTAGTGGGAAGGTGTCGCCTGGGGTGACCCAGGTTTTGGTGAGGGCGAGGAAATCAATATTTTTCAGTCTGACATCAGTGGTAGGGAAGATGGTACTTAGAAGACCATAATATGATGAGGCAGAGTCAACATGGCTTTACAAAAGGAAAGTCATGCTTATCAAATCTTTTAGAGTTTTTGACGATGTAACTAGCAGGTTAGATAGGGTGGAGTAAACTCTAAGGATGACACAAAAAAATTGCAAAGGGATTATAGATAGGCTAGGTGAGTGGGCAAGAAGATGGCAGATGGAATATAATGTGGGGAAGTTTGAAGTTATTCACCTAGGTAGTAAAAGCAGAAAAGCAGATTATTTTCTAGAAGGGGAAAGATTAGATAGTGTTAGTGTTCAGAGGGATTTGGGTGTCCTTGTACATCAGTCACAAAAAGTTAATATGCAGGTACAGCAAGCAACTAGGAAGGCTAATGGCATGTTGGCATTTATTGCAAAAGGGTTAGAATACAAGAGCAGGGAATTCTTGCTGCAACTGTATAGGGCCTTGGTGAGACTTCCTAGAATACTGTGTGCAGTTTTGGTCTCCTTATTTAAGAAAGGACATACTTGCCTTAGAGGGGGTGCAGCATAAATTCACTAGGTTAGTTCCTGGGATGAGGGGGTTGACCTATGAGGATAGGTTGAGTAAACTAGGCCTATATTCTCTAGAATATAGAAGAATTAGGGGTGATCTTATAGAAACATACAAGATTCTTATAGGGCTTGACAGAGTAAACAGTGTGTCCCTGGTAGGAGAATCTAGAACTAGGGGTCACAGTCTTAGGATTAAGGGTCAGTCTTTTCGAACAGAATTGAGGAAACACTTCTTCACTCAGAGGGTGGTGAATTTATGGAATTCTCTACCCCAGAAGGCTGTAGATGCTCAGTTCTTGAACATACTCAAGACTGAGATTGATAGGTTTCTAAAGGATAGAGGGATTAAGGGATATGGGGATAAGGCGGCAGATGGAGTTAGGTTAAAAGATCAGCCATGATCTTATTGAATGGTGGGGCAGGCTTGAAGGGCCGAATGGCCTACTCATGCTCCTAATTCCTATAAAAATACAAAGTATATACGTACACTTGAGAAGTACAGCAGAGGAAAGGAAAACAGTGGTAAGCTTGCCAATCAGTGTTCAAATTGGCAAGCTTCACGGTTGGGCTGGTTAAACTCCAGCAACATCCCAATGCACACACTGGAGTATTAAACCTTGACTCTTGCCAAACCTGCACCTAATACTTCCTGAAATTCAACGACCAAGGTACTACTGCTGGGGAGCCCACATTCCATTCCACAAATACGCTGATTATTTTCCTCATGTCTAAAGCATCTGATCAAAAAAAACATAATCAGATTGTTAGTTTATGCATTTTCTATATGCAAAAATACTTAAAAGATCCATTACAGGAATTTTTTTTATTGTGATCCACAATCTGAAATGAGTTACAGTATAGGTTATATAAACTTTACCGATCTGCTTTTTAATTCATAACGTTTGCTAATAGTTTAACAAAACTGACACTTAATTTTAGTTAAATACATGGAACTCAGAATTTAACATGGAATTTGTGCTCAAACATGAATTGCTGTAAAATATACATTACAGTTCATCATTAAATAGCATCTCAAGGGTGCACATTACAATGGCACATCCCCAAATTGTGATCACTTATTCTGAACTATAAAACTCAAGTGAAGATCATGCAACAACTGAAAATAAACATTTAGTTCATTAATGCAAATAGAATTTATTAATCAAATCATTTTTGTTTCACTAAGGAAGAGTAACTTCAGGCTCAAGTCTTCATGTTTTCCTTTTATACGAGCATGAATGAATGCATCAATCAGAAAAATCTAACTTGCAAATGTTGCAACTCAAACAGTGGGTTGGTTTTCCATTCTTTGCAGGTGCTGACATTTTACATGTTTTCAGCAAAATTGTTTCTTTCATCTTCAATTAAGCAGCTACAACAATCACTTCATCTGCCTGCCGACCTTGGGGCTAAAGAGAAACCAAGAGATTAAAACAATTAAGCAAAAAACGTATATTTGGAAGTTACAGAAAAGATGATTAAAGCAGAATGCAATATTTTTCCCATTGTAGTTGACACGGAATATATGAGAACTATAACAATATGATGGAATTTTGCAAAATCTGTGCCATACCTTTACAAAGATGTGTGTGGGAAGGAATCGGCGCAAGAGCTGGTTAGTGACTTCAGGGAACCTTGGCAAGCTTATGTTAAGACCTGGGAGCTGTTGGTATCCAGCCATGAGGGGGTAAAAGTTATATAATAAATCTTGTTCTGTATCAGGTAGAATTCGCAATCGGATCTGATCAAGAGAAAACAAAATAAGAAATGAGAAAACTAACACAGAAAATGACTTAAAGATCTCTCTGAAACATTGAGAGATATGCACATTATTCCTTATACACTCCAAATCTTTTCACACCTGCACCATCTTGCTTCTGGATACTTTAGTTTTGCATAACAAGTAGCAGCATTGACTTGCCATTGCTCTTATTTAAATTAATCCATTAATTATATTAACTTTACCTGTTTAAGACCAGAGAACATAAAAGATTCATTGGGTTCCACAAAGATCTCCACATCCTGTACCAGTTTAGTCCGATTCTGTAAGCAATATTTGACTGGCAAAGACTCTCGAACTCGACCAAATGATGGCAGATCTTAAAGGGAAAAGAATTGCTTTCAGTTAAAAATGTTTCATTTTTATGAAGGTAATTCTATATGTTTATATACAAAACTCCGTCAATGTTTCAGAACTAGTTGGTTTTAATCTGTATGAAAATTTTATGATACAGTTGAAAAAATATACATTAAAAGTTTTTACAAAGTACCACTCTAGTTCATATGATCAGTTCCAAAGTTTAAAATTCATCATCCAATACTCATTGGGCAGAATGCCCTTCTTCTGGGTAGTAAATTTCTATGGCTGATAGATTGCTTCTACACATGCAAACCAGCGTTTAAGACCAACATACATGTGTTCCCACCAAATTATTCTTAAGTGCACCACCTTGAACCGTATTTGTCATTACACAGTCCAAGAATCTGCCTTTGCTCCCAAGTTCCTGGTAACCGCCTTCCACCTAGTGAGGGCTCAAATTTGCACTTGTCGGATGTCAGATGACCAGCCCGTGACTATTCTTGGCGGGGTGGGGGGGAGGTGGGTGGGTTAGAGGAGACAAGTGGGAGATCCTTGGATCTGAACTGGCTCCGAGATGACATATTTGGCAACGGAATATCAGAATTCAGCCAACCATGTGTGGTAGTCTTGGTCGTTCAGTTCCTAAGCCAGGCAGGTCTGCAATATTCCAGAGAACTGCTGATGACAGGATGTATGGAAATCTCAGTTTGGTTTGGATACTCTTAAGCATGGTGATGAGTTTCCGCATGTGTCAGACACCTGGCTGACGAAACAAAACTGATAACAGCCCAGCCAGCTCATCGGCAGGACTTGGAAAGGCAGACCTGTCACTGGGGGCAGGACTCTACCCACTCAGTTCCTGTTAACCCTGTCAGCCAACGCCCTAATGGTTTGAGTGTCCCAGCTAGACAAGAAGCAGGAAATCTTGCCAGATAGTGCTTTCAATGGCACTCTATGCTATTTTAGCTTGTTAAATTCCAGCAGTATCCCAACTCACACTCTGGGGTCCCCAAACCTTGGGTCTTGCCAATCTCTGCCTAAAACTCTCGGGAATTATGCAAGTAGGATCCTTCCCTCCATAGAGTGTGCATTCCATTCCAATAAATATCTCTGAAATAGGTGGGATGCATGGAACTATCAGTTTGTTTCGGATACTCTTAAGAATGATGATGGGTTTCTGCATGTTGGTTACCTGTCTCACCAAAAAAAAACTTGTTTAATTTGTTCTTATCACAACTGGGAACAAGACTGAGCTGGTTCCTGTTCAGCTTTAAGATGTAATTATTACACAATAGGAGTGTCCTAAAGTTTGATTTTGCTTATTCCAAATTGATTGTGCCATTTAATATATGTAGTAGGAAATGTCAGATACTGGTATTAATATGGGGAGAAGGAACAATACAACAGAATGCTTGATGGTGACATTTGAACTTTGTGGAGTCCTGTAGCTCAGTGGTTAGAGCACTCGCTTTGCAAACGAGACAACTGGGTTCAATTCCAGGCAGGGCGAAACCTTAGGCAAGTTTCCTTACTCCACACACCTAATAATAATCCCTCCAAAACAATAATAAATTGTTCATTTTCAATCCATGATTGTTTGTGGGACATTGCTGCGCGCAATTGGCTGCCGCGTTTTGCCCACAAATATACAGTCAATTCACTTTACAACATATTCTGTGAAGCGCTTTGAGACATCGAGAAGATGTGAAAAGCATTATATCAAATGCAAGGATTATTATTATTATTATATATTCTTTCAATTTTGCAATTCTCAGATTCTCTGTCTGTGCTCACAATTCATTTCAATATGGATCAACTTCACTCTTTTCTCACGTCAAGGCCTCAGTGAAATTGAGACACATAAAAATAATAATATTCCTTTCATCCCAACGCATTGCCTCCCATCTTGCAATCATATTCCTCATTTTAATATCTATAATGTTGCACTGAAGATACCAAACATGTGATATTTATTCACATAAGGAATCGCTTCATTATTCAATTTACCTGCATGAACGTAGAGGGGAATACTGTCCACAATCACATGTGGCAGTGTAACCACAGTGCTGACAACAGGTACACTTTGAACAGCAGAGGACCTGTCAAAAAAACACAATACTAAAATATTCAAATAAAAATCTGGATATTTTTGCAATGTATTAACTCAAAATAGTCACACATGGACTCTTGTTACATCAGTCTTAGTGACATCTAACCAGTATGTGATGCCTCTTTAAATCTTGTTGCTGTTCTGCATTTTGATCCATGAACTAGAATTCTCTATTTAAAAGAGCACATTAGCTGCTTTATAAGGTCGCTTAATATTCTTCCAATGACAACACACTGCAGATCTGCAGTGCAATGGCATCCATGGCAATTTTATGTTAGAGGGAAAAAAAAATCAGTCTCATTGAAGAGGGTAGGAGACTGTTTCAGTTGGCTGGAAAACATGCAGTAGATCAACCAGTGGAGTCCTGTAGTTTGGCGGTTAGAGCACTCGCCTCACAAGGTTGAGACCTGGGATCGATTCCCAGCAGGGCGAAACGTTGGACAAGTTTCCTTACTCCACATGCCTCTGTTTACCTAGCAGTAAGTAGGAACCCAGTTGTTAGTCGATTGGCAGATCACTTTTCTGGGGGTAATAATCCCTTCAAAAAAATATAATAATAATTTGATCACTCAATCCACGACTGTTTGTGGGACACTACTGTGCACAATTGGCTGCATGTTTCGCCCACAAAATATACCATCAATTAACTTTACAGTATATCTGTGAAGCACTTTGCGATGTCTCAAAGACGTGATAAGGCACTATATTACATATAAGAATTATTATTATTGTCCTAATCTAGAAAGCATTTTAAGATTCTAATAATGAACAGTAAAACGATCATATTTATAGTTCTGCAGTGACTAAAGACAACAGCAGGAAGAAACAGCACCAAGGGACCTTGCAAAAAAAAAAAGCAAGACTTTATGAATGGTAACTTACTATAAACAATTCAAGCATTTTTATTCTCTGAAACTATTTTTCAATAGGAAAAAAAATCCTCCAAGGAAAAATGAGCTGAGTGGTTGGGATGGAGTCATAATGCAGGAGCTGGAGGGACGTTATCACATACCAAATACGAACAGTGTGAGGCAATCTCCAGAGATGAGCAGAAAATGCTGAATAATCTCCTTACTGATCAATATGTTAACGCGTGTTAATGGCCTTTTAACATGCTTTTTTATGTTTTCAAATAGTTATAATATCATATTTTACCTTTTCCATGAGATTATATAGTGACCTGACGCAACTCCACTCTGACCATTAGGTGCTGGCGGACACTGTAAGCAGAAGCACTCGCTTGCGCTCTCTCCCGTCTGTAAAATCACTGCAGAAACAGAATTAAAGTTTTAACAGTTGCCAAGGTAACTAGTGCCCAATATCCACAAATATTAAATCAGTCAGAACCTTTGACAGATAAACAATTTTAATAAAAACCTTAATGGCCTTTTCAACATATAAAAAAGGACAATCCCAAATTTAAGAGCAGAGGTGGTTAGATCAAAAAAAAAATCTTCATGTAAAAGGAGGTACTGTGGGGAGAAAACAGACTGAAATTAAGGACTACCTAATGATCAGTTTGTCAGATTCAAACATTTATAGAAAAGATATAGAGGCACCGGAGAAGGTGCAAAGGAGATTTACAAGGATACCAGAACTGCGAAGTTATACCTATCAGGAAAGGCTGAACAAGCTTGGAATCTTTTCTCTTGAAAAGAGAAGGGTGAGCTAATAGAGGTCTTTAAAATTATGAAAGGTTTTGATAGGGTAGACATAGAGAAGATGTTTCCACTTTTGGGGGAGACCAAAAACAGGGGCCATCATTATAAAATAGTCACCATCAAATAGGGAAGTCAAAAAAAACTTCTTTACCCAGAGAGTGGTGGAAATGTGGAACTTCCCACAACAAGGAGTAATTGAGGCAAATAGCAAAGAAGCATTTAAGAAGAAGCTAGATAAGTACATGAGGGAGAAAGGAATAGAAAGTTATGCTGATAGGCTTAGCTGAGGAAGAGCAGGAGGAGGCTCATGTGGAGCATAAACGCTGGCATAGACCAGGTGAGCCAAATAGCCTGATTCTGTGCTGTATATTCTATGTAATTTGATTCATTATCAATGTCTGACAAGTTTTCGTTCTCTTTATGCAGCAATCAATGTGATACAAACAATGCAATCTTTAGAGTAAATTGAGGTCACACAAATCACAGGGCACTTAGGAGCTGGGGGGAGGCCACTCACACTATAGCTGTTTGTTGGACACTTTCTGCAAATTGGCTGCCGCATTCACCCACACAATACACAATTTTACAGTATATTCTTTGAAGCCTTTTGAGGTATAATAAAATAATAATACTTGCGTTTGATATAGCGCCTTATGATGTCTTCGAGACGTCTCAAATTGCTTCACAGAATACACTGTAAACTGAATTGACTACATTTTGTGGGCGAATCGCACAGAGCAGTGTCCCACAAACAACAGTGAATTCAGTGACCATTTTTTTTAAGGAATTATTACTCCCAGAAAAGGAGACGTCCTCCTAATGTGAAAGGCGCTGTACCAAATGCAAGGATTATTATTAAGGTTATTTTTTTTTTTAATTATTCAGGAACATAGGAACAGGGGTAATGCATTTCAGCCCATCGAGCCTCTCTCATCAATTTATTAATTGCTATTTTATAAATGAAGTGAACCTGCATGCTTCAAGAATTACTGTGCACATTTGTATAAATTGTATATACTACACATAATTGCCTTATCCCGTCTTCTAGACTTCTCAAAGCGCTTCACAGAATATACTGTAAAGTGAATTGACTGTTTTGTGGGCAAAATACAGCAGCCAATTGCGCACAACAGTGTCCCACAGACAGTCATGGATTAAATGGCCAAATGTAGCACCTTTTCATGTCGTTGAGACATCTCAAAGAGCTTTACAGAATATATTGTAAAGTGTAATGACAGTATTTGTGGGCAAAAATATAATGAATTATATTAGCATTTTCCATCCAAACCCTAATGCTCTATAACAAAACTATCTCAAATCGAGGGTGATGCACCCAAACGACATCAACATGACCTAGAAGGAAACACAGGTCCAGCAGGAGAGATCTCAATAACAAGCTTGTCTTTCAAATTGAAAAGCGGGTTGTGTGTTATAAACTGAAACAAGCGGAAGTTAGAAAAGGATTTGGCAATCTTCAGCAATTCTGGGAATTAAGCTTCATCATGATTCAGAAGAAACCTCCATTGAAACAAAGGAGGATGTGAGATTTTGTAGGCACTCTTTCAATCATCCTCAGGAAAAGCTTTCTGGTTCCAATTATCTAATTATTTCACAGCTGGGACTCGCCATTTGGAGGAATCTCAAATAGCAGTAAAGCAACTGCTGTCAACTCTTGTGTTTTGTGAATGATGCTAAAATGAAGATAAAGCATTACATTTCAGTTCTGAAAAATAAGATTATAAGCATTATTCTAATTTCTTTTAAGATACCTTGATCCAGCTGTGACTCTGTCTGATCAACTGAAGCCATAGAAGGTGCAAGTTGCATCTTACTAGTTACTATGGTGAGTCCCCATGGAGATGCACTCAGAATGTCTACCATCAAAAGAAATGGAATATCTGCAAAAACCCGATCCATGTGCTCAAACTGCAAAACATTTTTTAAACATTAAATGTAACATTCAATTAAATTCTTCACAACTAACAGGAACAGTATGTAAACAGAACTCTACTCAATACATAATACAGCGTGATTCAGTGCAATTTAAAAGCTTCATTTCTTTTTAATAAATAACAGCATAAATTTGATCTTCCATTCAAACCTAATAGAAACAATTTGTAATACACAATAGATAGATATGGGAGTGCTATAGGCTCAATGATAAGGGGTTTTGTAATACTTGTACACAGTGGTTTAATGAGGTTTACCTTCACAATGCACTGACCACAAAGAGCTTCTTTTTAAGAGATGTTCAAATCCTATTTAAGCGCATTCAAAAGGGAGAACAGTAAAAGATGGCAATATTAAACAAATCATTACATTTAAAGTTTTCTGCTGTACTTACTTTTGCAGAAACAAACTTTGCAGCAACATCAAAAGGAACAACAGTTTCAATTGTGATTGTTTCATCCTAAAATACAAACAGGAATGTGAACAGATGATTAGATTTAATTGCTTTGCAAAGTGGGAAATGAGCTACTCAGGGCAGGAGAGGCAAATGGAAGGGGAAATTTGATAGCCCTTTAAATTGATTGCGAAATTTGAATGAAACAATGGAGTGCATTTTTAATATTTAAACTTTGTGTCCAGCAAGGCCCACATGGTCTTTTCCAGTTCTATGTATTATTACCCATTGGATCAGATGGTACAGCACAATACAACAACAATAAAATTATATTTGTATAGCACCTTCCATGTCGGGAGGACGTCCCTAGGTGCTGGACAGTCAGTGTTTCGGAACCGAGCTGGGGACGGGATTGGGGAGGGTGGAAGGCAGGGGGGAAAACAGGGTGATCGAAAGCACAGTCGAAAGAAGGTCTTGAGATGGGTCTTGAAAGAGGCAAGGGAGGGGGCGAGGCAGAGGGACTGTGGGATGGAGTTCCAGAGGGTGGGGGCAGAGTGGCAGAAGGCAAGCCTGCCAATGGTGGGGCGGGCGAGGCAGGGGACGTGAAGCAAGCCGGAGCCCGCTGAGGGGAGGAAGTGGCCAAGATGGGAGGGGGTTACAAGGTCACAGAGGTAGGGGGAAGCGAGGCCATGAAGAGCTTTGAAGGTGAGGACCCGGATCTTGAACTGTATCCTCTGTGTGATGGGAACCCAGTGGAGTCAGGTGAGGATGGGGTGATAGGGGCACGGAGGCTGGTGCGGGAGAGGACATGGGCTGTAGAGTTCTGGATGATCTGCAGCCTATGGGGGGAGGAGTTGGGGAGGCCGACAAGCAAGGAGTTTGCATAGTCAAGCCTCGTTGTTATGAATGTTATGAACACAGGGCAAATTACCTCCTCCTATGCAGAAATTTGTATGATTCTATAATAAATGCAATTTATTGGTGCTTGAACAGGATACTATGCCCTTTAAATTAAACCAACATTATATTCACAGCCTTCAGGAGCAATTAATTTCATGCATTTTACTTGTCTGTAACATTAAAATAAGACTTGAAACACTTATGTTTTTTTAAATTAATCAATTATTCATGTTTTGTCATTTCCACGAATTATATACATTTAATTTGAAGGATCCAGTACATTTTTTTCTGGTTTTAAATTTCTTATGGGTTTCAGCTTAAAGGTTCTAAAAGTACTACTATCAATATTATTATTAGAAAACTACTGAACAAATATGCATATAAATTGACAAGATTCCCAAACTTCTTAAAAATAGTCACCAACCTTATGACATTTGCAAACTATTTCTTTGCCTTCAACAACAGTAGTAATGACGTAAGAGACATGAACCAAGAAGATTCTTGTCCCAACTTGGCCACATCGGACAAACAGAGGTTTCTCTACCTATGCGAAGATACAACAATAAGCATGAATAACAATGAACATGAATAACATGGAGCCTTGTAGCTCAGTGGTTAGAGCACTCGCCTCACAAGCGAGAGGATCTGGGTTTGATTTCCGGGTAGGGTAAAATGTTGGGCAAGTTTCCTTACTCCACACACCTCTGTTTACCTAGCAGTAAGTAGGAACCCGGTTGTTAGTCTATAGGTGGATCACTTTTCCAGAGGTAATAATCACTTAAAAAAAAGCTTTGGTCACTCAATCCACGACTGTTTGTGAATTGGTTGCCGCGTTTCGCCCACAAATTTTTCAGTCAATTCATTTTACAGTATATTCTATGAAGCGTTCTGAGACATCTCAAAGACGTGATAAGGTGCAGGGATATTATTATATTTGACACAAAATACAGGCCCTGAAAATGAAAAATATCAGGGTTATTTTCTTGATAAAAAACAGAGTTTAATGATCATTATGAACAATGCAGAAAGAAATGAAACTGCATTGTACTGGAGTGAAAGCTTATTACCGAAAAAGGATGAAAAATAAATTTCATCTCTGCAACAAGCATCGGTATTACGATTCTTGTTCTCAAAGCGGTGGTTTTGCATGCAAGCGCTAATATAAATTAAACCAATATTGTCCAATTTTTAAAAAAATTACCTTTTCCCCTGGTTGTAAATCTCCAATGGGAATATCAGGCAGCAAAGCAGGATGAGAATCGTCACACATCTCAGTTCCATTAAGAGTAACATGAGTTGTTTGAGTAAGATTGGCATCCTGGCCTAAATATGAAAAACATAATAGTGATTGATAACACTGATTGACACGTCAGTAACTAGCAAAGAGAAATGTAATATATAATATATTATATCATATTTATATATTATATACACAAGTACAATTTACAGTACATGTTCAGTTTATCCTCAAGTTGGTTTTGAGTCCATTTTGGGGGTGGGGGGGGGTGGGAGATGGGTGTCCGACACACGCATAAACCCATCACCATGCATAAGAGTGTCCAAACCAAACTGAGAATTCCATGCATCCCATCTACAAGTGGAAATTCCAGACATAGGATTGTTGGAATGGAATGTGCACTCTCTTGCTGGAGGGACGTATCCTGCTTATCTAATTCTGGAAAGTATTAGGCGCAGGTTGACCAGAGCCTAGGCTTGGGGACCCCAGAGTGAACTTTGCGGCACTGACCAGGGAAAACCGCACAGCTTGCCATTGATTGCACTGACCGGCCAGCTTTCCTGCTGCTTGTCGAGCTAGGACCAACCTAGCCATTAGGGCTATGGCTTGCAGGGTTAATAGGAGCTGAGTGGGAGGGTTCCCTGCCCCCAATGACTGTTCTGCCCTTACAGGTTCTGCTGCTGAGACAGGCTGGCTGTGCTGTCAAATATGTTTATAAGTGGAGTCGATGGTTCAAAGTGATAAGGTACTATATCAAACTCAAGGATTATTATTTATTATTAATATCAAGCCACTGATATTATGGTTCACACTGGTATGGTACTGTTATACCATTACTCTGGTGCAAAACTAGTTACACGACGGAACAGGAGCAACAACAACATGCAATTATACAGCGCCTTTCAGGTCAGGAAGACATCCCAAGACCCTGGACAGTTGAGGGTTTACACCCAAACTGGGGTTGGATTCGGAAGAAGTTGGAGGAGCGGAAAGATATTGAAGGTGTAAAGAGAAAGGTTTTGAACTGAAAATTGAATGGTTTCAATTGAATGAATACAATTAACAACACAATGTCTTTCAAGCAAATCCAAGAATAATTTTTGACACTTCAGAGTCTTACTCCCTTTTCCTTATACAGTATAAGCATCTTAAAACGAACACATCAGGGGCAACCGTTCTGTCTGGCTTAAGCGACGTCCGAAGTTAATCAAGTTCTCCTACCTCTTCCCGCCCAGGCAAAGGAGCAGCAGCGACACCTCCTCTCACTCACTGCCATTCCCATTGGACGGAAAGGGAACCAACTAGTGGCAGCTCCGAGGTGACTGACAGCCTAGTGCCGCTTGTGAATGTTTGGGCTGCATCCACTTACAAGCAGCTCCAATTGTTAATCAATCACAATTTGACTCTTCCTATCTCCATACCAGAGCTGCTTGTGACTGAACGGAGCTGCTCGAGACACAGAAGGCGCGAGTGAGTTAACTGTTTGAATCCCAATGGAGATTAAGTGACTGAAAAAAACGTACCTGGTTTTAAACCTGCTGTTAATTTGACATCTTTTGCAGTGGTAGACTCCTGTGACTGTACATTAACCACCAAGCAATACATTTCATTGGTCAATGCAGGAGGTTCATGTCGGAGACGTACGGAAATTTTTGGAACTCGCGAAATCACCCTTCAATTGCAAAAAAGAGAGAAGATTGGATTCAAACCAAGGAAATATTCCATTGTTCTCAAGTAGGCTTTTTCAGTGACAGAATCTCCAGGAGACTGGAAATATCAGAGAATTACATCAGTTTTGATATCCAAATCTAGTGAAAAGTGACGATGCAACTTTTTTGATGCAACATTGTTTTAACAGTTGAATTAACCTTAATTATTCAGTTAAACTAATAATATAAGGAGGAATAAAAAAAAGATGTACCACCACACCTCTCTTATACTCACATTGTGCTTGCTTGTATGGTAACACTCTCCCAGTCTACTTCATTGTCAGGCAGCTTGGGTCGTCGTCGAAAGGATCGAGTGGCCTGCAAGGCTTCCTGACAGGAGGCAGCATCTCCTCCTCCTCCCCTCCAGTTAAGGACCACACACCTCCCCGTATCAGAACCCAGCACTAGGTCCACAGATGTGATCTAACAGCACACACTGATGAATATTTCTGACTATGATTCATGAAGCACTGCTATTTACAGAATGAATTACAGAATTCTTTTGTACCTTATCAAAAGACGTGCAATTTGCAGGACAGATAGAACAAACAGCTTTTTTTTTTTTTTAAAAAAACTTTGTTTTCTCCATAAATGGTTGAAGAAACAAATACATTGCCAATTTTTCTTTGGTTTCATCATTTCTAAACTTTCCAGTACTAACCATTTTCAAACGGTTGTGAGAATGTGTCCCCATTAAGCTATAAATACAGAAGTGATTGGAGTGTTTAAAACGAAGATCTAAGAGAAAAGGAGTAAGATAACTGAAAGAGAGGTTAACATCTCATCCGAAGGACAGCACCTCGGACAGTGGTGGATTCATCAAGAACTGCTCTGAAGTATCACCCTAGAGTCTAGGGCCTAAACTATGAGCTCAAAGTGCCAACTGGGGCTTGAACCCACAATCTTCTGACTCAGATTTGAGAACGCTATGAATAAACTAAGCTGAACTTTACTGCTAGCAAGTGGAAGACATAATGAAAGTGACACTACGCCAACATGCTGCTCATTTTTTAATGATTCCTTTGAGAGCATCAGATAGTCCAAACTCCTTTAAAAAAATCAGATATTTACTTACCTCAACTTTTTTCCCCACATCTTCAGTTCTAGCAACAAACTTGAACACGTATTTCCTTGTTTTACCAGGAACCAAGCACATAGTTCCCTGAGCTGAGGCTTCCAAGATGTCAGATGACTGATATGTTTCTTCTACTACACAGTACTGGTTGTACTCCTAGAAGAAATGTATTTGATAAATAAAACAGGAATTTTTTTGGGGTTGGGGGGGGGGGTCAGCCAGGTGACAGCACATATGGTAACCAATCAACACGCTTAAGAGTATCCAAACTAAACTGAAATTCCACATGTTTGCTACTTACAAAAGGAAATTCCAGTGTCTGTAAAGAAATGAGTACCCTCTTACTTGAGGGATGCACCTGCTTACCCAATTTGTAGAGCATTAGGAGCAGGTTGGAGAGAGCCAAGGCTTGGTCAGAGAGTGCATGGGGTACTGCTAGAGTTTAACCATCTCAATCCACATGGCTTGCCACTGAGAGCAATGCAAAGCTTCCTACTGTTTGTCCAACTAGCTAGCTTGTCTAACTAGCTGCAGGGTTAACAGGAGTCAAGTGGGAAGAATCCCTGCTCCTTAGTCCTTTAAATCTTGCTGATACAGCAGACTGACTGATTTGTCATCAGCAGTGCCTTCAAGTCCTGCAGACTTGTGTACTCAGGAGCTGGACTATGGGTCTGCCACAGACATTCCACTGCCAAGCAAGTCACCTTGGATCCAGCATAGCTCTAAAAATATAATGAAGACATCTGATGAAGTTCTGCACAGTAGCCAATTACTCCAGGTTATTGGCGTAAGGAAAGCAGTGAATTGAGACCAGTTCAGCTATGAAGAGAATATGCAGATATTTCCCCATAGGTCAAACAAGTGTTTGAAAATCCAATATATACTAAAGGTACATAGTTAAATTATATCTTTAGAATTCTTACCTGGTTGTTAAAGCTGACACAGAGTTTAGAAAATCTAAATGGATGAGGACAGTCAGCCTTTAGGTACACATGAAGCTGCACAGGGACATCAACATGGAAACTTGGAGCCAGGAACCGGGCTTTGCATTCAACTATGGTAAAAAAACACACACAAATGAAACAACAACAAATGTTTACTTGATTTACTCGTCCGAGAAAACTTTTGAAAATAAATGCCAGATATCCAAAACATTTATAGAATTCAAATAGTTATCTTAAAATTACAAGGTCTTTCCAATCCTATAGCGTATAGACTCTATGGTAAAGATGGGATCATGGTTTAAAATGGAGAAGGGGAGATTAAACAAACATATTAGATTGAATGATTTTATGCCCAAAGTAGTAAACGTGTTTGTAGGGAGAATGGTGTAGTAATAATCCTTACATGTATCAGCCTGTTTCATGGGATATAGTGTAAAGTGTAATGACTGTTTTTATGGGCGATTATGGCAACCAATTTTGTCTACACAAATAGCCATGAAGTGAATGACCAATTTCATTTGGGGGGTTGTTGGCAGGACACTAGAAGAAACTACCTTCTCTTTTCTAATAGGGCCATGGGATCTTTAACAACCAACTGAACAGGTAGACAGTTCTCGAATTTAAACTTCTTAGCTTTCAGAAGGTATAGCCTCCAACAATGCAGCACACTCTCCAGCACTGCACCCTAGACTATACAAATATATTCAAAGTCCTGACATGGGTATGAACCCACAAACTTCTCACTCAGAGGCAAGGGTGAACTTTCACTCTAATCTAGCAAAGTAAATCATATATATTCAGGAACAATGCACAATTTTGTATTTCTACAAAGGTAATTACCAAATGGCACGTAGTCTTGCATCTCAATCGTGAAAACATTACTTCCTGCCAAAGAAACACGATCAGCCCACAATTTCTGAGCAGTTTTGACAGCCTTAGAATCGCATTCTGGTTCAGGATCAGGGCTCTCATTCTACAATTAAAGAAAACGGGTTGATTTTTTTTTAAACAACTGAAGATTGTTTTAAAACAAAATGTGCTGCACAGATAATAAGACTGACCATCAACACTTTCAACAAATTCTTTTCAATGCGAGATTTTTGCTCTTCTTTCTGCGTGGAAGCTGTCACATGAATGAAGGAATAAAAGAACCACAAACAGTAGCTATTATCTAAAGGGCATTTTGTCACAAATAGGTGAACATTGTTTTCATAGGAGAAATGACTCATGTTTGCATAATGACAAAAAAAATAAAAACAGATGGAAGATTAATATGGAAGAATTTATCTTAACATCAAGGCAGCCTTGATGACATTAGCGTTTCATGTCAAGCAGTAGAAACCCCGGAGTTGAATTCCAAACTTGTTGACATTTGCACATGTTTTTCATTTTCCTTGGAAGCTGACTTGGTTATGTTTCCAAGAATGGAATAAAGCAGAAGTGAAGTAATTCATCAACTAGAGGAATACTGGATGGCAGGATTGCACCCAATGAAGTTCTGCAGCTAACTAGTAATAATCCAGTTTAAAATCTTGGGTGTATAAACCAACACAAAGTGCAAGTGGTTTAACTGGAGGAAAACAATAATAATTTCAACTCATTATTACGTTCTACATGGAGGCCAAATAATCAATGTGATATAACAAGATGCACACTACGTGAACAGCCCAGAGTTAAATTCAACATGAAAATCTTGTCATCTTGAATCCAATAACTTTAGTAAGGAAGAAATCAAGTCCTTTTGTAATATGTAAACTACTAAGGATACACCTTCCGAGGAGCTCCAGAGAGTAAGTAATGTAATCTTTGACTTGAGCCATCAGGTAAGCACACTTGAGGGCTGTATTCAGAATGGAAGTCAGCAGTTTCCACCAACGCTCACTGCGGTAATCAAACATCACATAATCCAGCAGCCTACAAAGAAAATGAAAATCAGTAACATTTGAGAATATAACAAGCAAAACAACTTACTGTTAAAGATTTTTATTTATTCCAACTAAGCCATCCTCTTTATTTTTGTCATGACTTCTGAGGTGTTATTTCAATTTCTCACATTATTTATTTCAATCTTTTAATCCAACACTTTGGCACAAGTATGGTCACAGAATGTTCATGTCTTTTAAATCTCAAAGCGAGGAAAGAGTAAATAACCTGCATTTACTTGGCAACTTTCATGTAAAATAAACCAAAAAATTAATGTCATTAAATGTGAATGCTAATGTGTGCCAACACTCCACAAATAATGAGATGAATAGACACAAATTCAGACTAACCGAATAGCTAAATTCAGTTAGTCTGGATTTGTGGTATGCCTGGATGAGGAGGAATATACACTAGAATACTCCAGAAACAGAAGGCAATCCTTTCTACATAAGTGTGTGAACTATTTTTATATGTTTCTAATAAATAAGGGCTTCATCAGGAGGGATTTTGAGGTAAGTGAACATGCGGGCAATGTTCCAAAGGTGGAAGATGGTGGTCATGGTGAGCGCCAGATGAGCAGTATAAAAACTCAATCGTACAAGATTACAGTGAATTAAGTGGTGGGGAGGTGCAGCAGGTTATCTGATGTGACTATACACACAATATATTGTACTATTAATACACAATACTATACTTTAATTCAGAAAAGATACTCACTTCAATGCTTTACTATAGTCCTTAGCATTGTAATACTCCTCACCCATCTGAACCACTGTAAAACAGGAAACCGAAGCTAAATATGATTACAGAAACAACAATGAATTCATGACAAAACAATTTGGTTTGCATTTCAAATACCAGTCCAGTATAATTTTCATACTTAGATGACTTTTCATTCGAGGACACTTGTATCTCTTGAACTGGGCCACTGCATTACTCAAGAGTGTAATAATCAGTTCCTGACAAAAAAAGAAGAAATTCTCGTAAGCATTACTCTGCTCAAAACATGTCACACGTTCCACCTAATTACAACACTGTCATGCAATAGCTGAACGAGGCAGAGCTGTGCTCAGAGGTACAGTACTCACAGAATGGTCAACTTCTCTTTCTTTGAGCTGAAGTGCCAGAATGCCAACCTTCTCCTTCTCGGGATCTGGTGGTTCAATACCTGAATAAGACAGTTTGTAATCCATTAAATCTGAATTGCATTCATCATCTTCAGGAACGCATCCGGCAGGAAACTGTTGAGCAGTCATACTATTTGATCATTTTAACATGAACCAAACTGGGGCAGCAGTTACCCGGCAGCGTATTTAAACCGCTGCCCACGGTGGGTCTCCAAGGAGACAGAATGTTTTGTTTCCAGGAATTCTGTTCTCACCTCAAATAATTATTGAGCGGATTGTCACCATCATCGATGTCAAATGGCCAACGAGTGGCTTTCCTCTGGGAAGGGGGGCTGGGGAAATAGCAGGGTCTCCTTGGGGCTGAACTGTTGACACAATGAGATCCTTGGCCACACAGTGTCCAAATCAAATCAATCCTCTCGATTCCCACACGTCGCTGATGACAGACCAGCGAGCCTGGCTTTTCGGCAGGACATCGAGGGGCAGAGTGGTCACAGGAGGCGGGGAGTCTTCCCACTTAGCTCCTGTTGATGCTGTTAGCCAAAGCCCTAATTCGAAAGGTGGCACTGGCTGGACCAGACAGTGTTCGCAATGGCAAGCTCTGCGGTTGAGGCAGGTTGAACTCCAGCAGTACTCCAATGCATACTCTGAGGATCCCAAGCCACGGCTCTCACCAATCTGTGCCACATATTTTCTGGATTTAGGTAATCCAGACACAGGGAAGTTTCTATGCATAGTTGGCATGCCACATGGAACTCTATCTGGTTTGGATATTCTTAAACATCGTATTGGTTTCCAAATATGTCAAACACCCAGCTGACAAAAACAAATCATGTGATCTAATACATGAATCAAGTTGGCGATATTTGAAACACAAATGAAGTACTACATCCATCATAAGATTAACTATATTTGACAATATCTGGCAGAAATTTGACTCAGTGAAGAATAGTTCTTTAAATACATCTCCTGTAGCTCAGTGCTCAGAGCACTTGCCTCGCAAGCGAGGACCTAGATTCGATTCCCGGGCAGGGCAAAACAAACGTTGGACAAGTTTCCTTAGTCCACGGTCTCTCTTTACCTAGCAGAAGTAGGAACCCGATTGTTAGTCGATTAGCAGATCGCTTCTCCGGGGGTAATCCTTCATGAAAAAATAATGACCATTCAATCATTCAATCCACGACTGTTTGTGGGATACTGCAGTGCTGCCACGTTTCACCCACAAAACAACAACAAGATTTCATTTATAGAGCACCTTTCATGTCGGGAGGACGTCCCAAGACGCTGGACAATTGGGTCGGGACCCAAGCCTTAGGGGGAAATGGTCAGGGTGAGGGGAGGGAAGGGAGGGAGCGAGAAAGGGGAAGAGAGTCGAGAGGGGAGCTGAAGGTACGGTCAAAGAGAAAGGTTTTGAGACCGGCCTTGAAGGAGGAAAGGGAGGAGGCGGCGAAGGCACTGGGGGATGGAGTTCCAGAGCCTCGGGGCTGAGAGGCTGAAGGCCCGGCCACCGACGGTAGGGCGGTTGGGGCGGGGGATGTGGAGCAGACCGGAGCCAGAGGAACGGAGGGTACGGGCAGGTAGGTAGGGGGATAGTAGGTTGGAGAGGTAGGAGGGTGCAAGGCCGTGAATGGCCTTGTAGGTGAGGATGAGGATCTTGAATTCGATCCTCTGGGGGATGGGGAGCCAGTGGAGACGAGCGAGGGTGGGAGTGATGTGGTCCTGGTGCGGGACAGTACACAAGCTGCAGAGTTCTGAATGACCTGCATTGTGGAGGGAGGTGCCGGGAAGGCCGACGAGGAGAGTTCCCATAGTCCAGCCTTGAGGTGATAAAGGCGTGGACCAGAGTTTCAGCAGCGTGAGGGGTGAGGTAGTGCCGTAGTCTGGCGATGTTTCTGAGGTGATGGAAGGCGGTGCCAGTTGTGGTGCGGATAAGAGGAAGAAAGGACAGCTCAGGGTCGAACAGAACCCCGAGGTTCCTGACGGCTTTGAGAGGTGGAGAGTGCAGCCTTGGATGCTGATGAGTCGGAGTGTGGGAGGGAAGGGATGGGGGGGTGGGTGGAAGTTGGAGGGGGAGTGACCGCAGAGCAGATTCCGTTGATTTTGGATTCAAGGAAATCCAGCATCTCCTCCCAGTGAAGGTTGGAGGAGATGACCTGCGCGGGGTGGCGGGGGGGACGGAGGAGTCGGGATGTGATAGAACAAAGCCTGCTGACAAAATATTGTCAATTCACTTTACAGTATATTCTGGGACGTATCGAAGACATGATAAGGCGCTATATCAAATGCAAGGATTATTATTATAAATCATATCCACTTCCCAAGCTAAGTTACTTAATTCAGGTTGAATTTGTCTGACAACAAACAATATTTTGTAATTCTTCGAAAACAGTGTACAGTTTATACCTATAATAGATACAACAACTTGCATTTATATAGCACTCCTCATGCAGGGTAGCTTCCCAGAGTACTTGGCACAGTGGAGCATGATGCCAAGCCGGGGGGAGGGGGCTGTAAGCATGGTCGAAGAGGAAGCTTTTCAGGCGTGATTTGAAAATGGGGAAAGAAGGAGCGAGGCGGAGGGATAGAGGAAGAGTGTTCCAGAGTTTCAGGGAGTAGCAGCTGGAACGGAGGGTACAAGGGACATGCAGGAAGTTGGAGCCAGTCGAGCAGAGGCAGCGGGTAGTGGGTTGGGGAGTAAGCAGCTCGGAGGTAGGGAGGTGTCTGGACATGAAGGGATTTGAAAATGAGTGTGAGGATCTTGAAATCAATCCGTTTGGCGATAGGGAGCCACTGGAGCCAGGCTAGAATTGATGTGATACAGGATAATATTAATATTCGAGAACAGCACTGAGCTATCAATAATACTCTCAAATACTGTTTGTGGGACACTGCTGTGCGCAATTGGCTGCCGCGTTTCGCCCACAAATATACAGTCAATTCGCTTTACAGCATATTCTGTGAAGTGCTTTGAGACGTCGAGAAGACATGAAAAGCGCTAAATCAAATGCAAGGATTATTATTATTAGATATCCAAAAATAAGTCTCACCAAATAACTTGAGCAGGTTCAAGTAAATACAAATAAATATTTTGACCATAAGTAATCACCGTTACGTACTTTGGTGACTTTGTCTCCATGGTCTTTGTCCAAAGAAATCCAGAACTCCAGCAGGGGTCTCCAATAGATCAGGACTAGGATAAGTGGTAGAGGTCTGCAAAGAAACATAAAATATGAATAAAACAAAACAATTTACGAAGTTATAAACCAACCAAACAGACTACATCATAAAACATTGACATGTGAAAATAAATCATTCAATGAGAAAGAAGAGATCATTTGATTCATCATTTATATTTCATGCTCAAATGTAATATTCACCACAAAATATACAGTCAATTCACTTTGCAGTATATTCTGTGAAGTGCTTTGAGACGAAGGGTCTATCTCAAATGCAAGGATTATTATTAACTATTGTAAATCTATCCAGGTACTTTAATTCCAAACATTCTTTAAAACCACATACATACATCATGATTGCAGAGATGATTAGCAAGTTGTTTGCGCTCTTGGGCATAGTATGCTGCCTGTTGGTAGTAGAAGCCAGGGTTCTGCGTCTGAATGGCTGTAAGTCCAAGTTTTATGGCTTCATCAAACAAATCTCCAAATGCTTGGAATCTTGAGAGGAGAATGTGGAAAAGGAACTATTATTTAGTTTGTCAGTTAGAGAAAACAATACCAAATTCAGGCTAGTTTGGAGAAATAAAACACAATATCTGCTGACTGCCTATTTAATTTGTATTAAGGTGAAGATGTGCACGCACATTAAATCCAGGGTAGTGTGGTTTGCTGAGGAGGCAAGTCTGGCTTAAATTAAACAGAAATAGATACAAAAGTTTTCTGTCATGAAATGCTAAAATAAGTAGTGTTTGGCATATAGGAAGGTTAGGATGTAAGAAGGGGCAGAATGAAGGAAGAAAGAGACAAGCAAAGGTTTCCAAATGTACAATTGAAAAAAATCCAGAGCATCATACTGTTTAGACATCCAAGCCGCATGCTCAAATGCTAGCTCTGCACTCCCTATCTTCTTTTTGCACAAATCAACATGTTTCCGAAACTGAGCAATAGCATCCAAAGGAGCGTTGTGTTGGAAACATAAACGACAAATCTGCAAAAGAGGAAAACACAACAGTAAGGGGCAGCATATTAACGGATCAGAATATTGGTGGAATTTACTCATAAAGGTTAGGTAAAATGTATAATTGTGGTCATAATTTCCAGTTGACCAGATAACAAGTCTATAATAATCCTGATTTTAAAAATTAAACACACACATTTTTCCAGAGTCAATGCACCATTTTGTTTATGTGGTGCTTATAAACAGTGCCTCTCAAAGACCCTTTCAAAGAGTGAAAAACATAGCCAAATAGGTACTGTAGAGTACACGTTTATAGATATATATATACACAAAATGTTGCATTGATATGCCTCTGAAGTGCAAATAAGGGCTGAGGGACCACAAATTGCACTTGGTTGGCTTCCCCCATGTGGTGATTGAAAATTTTCAGACAAGTTTTAATAGTCTGGTTTTTTTAAAATGAAAAAGTTGATTGTACAACTCATCCCTTGATAATATTAAATTATTATTATAAATTAATATTAAAAATCAAACATCCAATTTTTAGTGTTCTGGCTAGCTTTTTCTTGACTGATTCAAAGTTCGTAAAGCAGCACAATACTTTGCACTGCACAACTTCACATAGTTCAAATCAGGCTTCTCACAATAGTGGACATTCTGTCCTCACCCTCCAGAGTATCTCCACCTTGCTCCCTCCCTCACCGCCTTTAAAATAGTAAAAGATCCATCTCTTTTACCATGTATTCAGTCATCTCCACCCCTCTCCAGTTCAGAAACCCAGCCATTTTTTGAAGCTCTTCGAGATGTCCTCCGGGCGTGAAAGCTTCTTAATAAATGTGAATTTAAAGAGTCTATGTACAAGCATGATGGGCTATAATAATATGGTCTTTTCTCTCTCTTCTCTGACTTTTCTTATGCCTAAAACAGTAGAATACTGTATTCTTACCCAGACCAAAAAAATTAATAGTGTTGCATTAGAATTGATATACTTAATAGTTTGTTATTTTGCTGGTGCAGTAATGAATTAAAACTAGTCAACATATAAATAAAGGAATAATGATCTATACTTTCAAAATGCTGGTTTTGTGGTTACCTTGTAGTTGATGAATCCAGCCATGGTCTTGATTTCAAGCATGTTGGTCTCATGGGCCCTCAGCTCATGCACAAGATTATAAGCTGTCCTGTAATTTCTGGAAATAAAGATTAATAATTAATAAACTAATTTGAGTCTTACCCTGGTCAAGAATGTTTTCAAATATTATTAATAGATGTACATGTACATACTGAGGAAGTGAGGAGATCAAGTCAGAATCCAAATTAGCTTTCAAGAGGGAACTAAATAGATATCTATACAGGAGAAATTTACAAGGGTACAGAGCTGAATGGATTGCTCTTTCAAAGAGCCATCACAGACACGATGGACCAAATGGCGTTCTGTGCTGCAAATTTCTATTTTTCTTTAAATATAATGCATATTAGATCAAGAAACAGTAAACTTATACAACATAAAATAATCTCATTAACATAGATGGAAAAGGTTAGGGATTTTGAGTGTGATTACAGATTATTCAGTGAGAATTTTCAGTCATTGCTAAATAGTACTAAGTATCTCTTCTGTTCTCTGACATTGTTCTCCATGGCAAAGAGAGGAATCTTATGGAAAACTGAAAGAGGAAACTAAACAGAATGATGGTATACTCCAAACTGAAATTACTACTATGTTACTTTGATATTCAAGAGTGCCATTTCAGGCAGATCAATTCAGGTTTTCATTGGATTAAATAACATGAAGGATTTGTGAATTAGGCAGTATGCTCGACAAATTGAAAATGGAATGAAGGTGTTCCTACATACTGCTTGGCGGGTGAGAAAATGAAGAAAATTAAATTTTTGTTCATTCCGCACTGGAAAGAATTGTGGCCAAATTCCTTTGTTTCTGTTTCAGTTTCGTATTTTTTATACCATATGAAAATATTTCAATGGTTAAGATAATTAATAAAGCTCTTTAATAGTACAGCATTTCATTGATGTAATACTAAACCATAGAGATCAAGAAGTTCAAAATTCAATCCATGATTCAAAATGAATTAGCTGATCCCAGCTGGAGCAGTAGTGAAGTCAAATTGATCTTGTTGTTCCTGGGCTTGGTGGGCAGGAGTAAGAGAATGATGTAGTTTCTACTCCTAAATCCTAAGCAATATCCCCCTCAGAAGGTGAGAAAGTGCGTGTGTGCATGAATGTGCATGTTAGTTGGCACAATATCAAGTATCCTTTCTGTCTGGCCTTCTGACACTCAAGAGATCAAATGCAAGGAATATCATTACAAAGTTCAATATCCTACCAATACTCTAAATATCTGGGTTTACATGCAAACGTGAGGTTCCAAAAGGGTGCTAATGTCCAAAGAAGTGAACTTTACCATGATTCTTTAAAGACACAAACCAATAAAAAGGGAAGTAAAGGAGAGTCAAGGTAAACAACGTCCACTGACTTTTATTGTCAGTTACAACAAGCTAAAAGTAACCTAGAATAGAAACAAATGAAAATGACTATACATTCCAAGAAATATTTGCAAAAAATAGCAATACTTTAATAAATCCTTACTTTAGTGCATTTTGAGTATCCTGTTTTAATTCACTGAAGAAAGCAGTCTTGAACTGATGTCTCACAAACAGCAGCTTTAAAAAAATGCACAGACAATAAGATTTTCCATTGTTACAGCCACTAATACAACAACACAACAACAAAATTACATTTGTATAGCGCCTTTCACGTCAGGAAGATGTCCCAAGGCGCTGGACAGTAAAGAGTTTCAGACCTGAGCTGGGGGTCGGGATCGGGGAGGGTGGAGGGCAGGGGGGTAAGCAGGGTGATCGATATCATGGTCGAAGAGGTCTTGAAGGAGGCAAGGGAGGGGGCGAGGTGGAGGGACTGCAGGACAGAGTTCCAGAGGTCAGTTTATCAAGTAATGCAACCCACTCTTTACTCATTATTATTTCACACATGGGATATTTTTAATTTTAAGTATATAATTCTTAGCATATACAATAAACTCCTGATAATTCAGCACTGACTTAACGTGTCACAACTACTTTAGTCATGAAACTGTCAATATCTTGCCCGGATTTATACAAATGCCTAACTCACCTCTGAATACCTCATCCCTGAGAGCTTTTCATTTAGAATGATGAGTTATTAGGAGCTTATTGTATTATTAGCACAATGTTTTAATCAAGCTCAAGTAATTTAGTTTGTTACATGAAACAATTCCAAAATTCCTTTAATTTAGTTCACTTTTTTTAAAAAAAACAACACACATTCAACAGCTTTCAAACAAATCTATAATAGTCACTCCTTCTGGAAAATGATTTTTAATACTCAACTGTTATTTCTTAATAAACTAACATTTCCAATATTTTAGAGTATTTTAAAGTAGCAAACACCCCACACATTACTAAGAAGTCAATAATTATGTTGTTCATCTTCCAAATGCAATAGGGTTTCATTATTTGCATCCAAATATACTAACAAGACATGCAAATCTGATAAAATTTGCTGATGTAAATTAAAGACACTATCATTAAAAGTAAATATTCCTATTCTCAAGGTAATAAAGTTTATCCCTTAACAAGGTTCACATACATCACAGAAAATTGTTACAAAATGTTTTGAAAAACAAACAAAATCAAATCAAACATTGTTGCCTTAAACAGTCGAAGAGATTTTGAATTCTCTGCACCTCTGTGGTGTAGCCTTCACTAAACTACAGTAATTACAAAAATACTTTGTTGCATTGATGATCACTTTTTTTTGTATCAATGCATTCAGAGTGGGAATTTGAATCTAAATAGCACTTCTCTCAGCTGTAGAGGTTTTTACCTGATGAGTTGTTTTGTTCAGAAACTCTTTATGTGATTTCACTCTCCTTATTTCAGTGTAGTAATATGTCTGTGTATGTTCATAAAATGCATTTTCTAACCTTCAAAGAATTCAAATTAAACAATATTACACAGGGGTACAAAACAGTGAAACACTGCATAGAATAAATTCAAGCAAAACATCACAATGAAAACAAAGTCAAATTAATTTGTGCAACTTATTTTAAATAAATGCTGAGTGTGCAAAAAAAGTCCCAGATAAATCTTTTTTTAAAAAATAAATTTAGTGTTTCCATTTTTTTCTTATTTTCTGAAGTATGCCTCCCTGTTCCTGTTGGGATGTGGTTCCAGGGACACTGGTTACCATCCGGTATCCCAGCCAAGTGTCACTGTTCATGTGTGATCTTTGGCAGTGGATGCCAATGGGCCACTCAACTGTCGACAAGTCACAGCTGAGCTTGATCTGTCTCCACCCGGTTGCTATACGCACTCACAACCAACAGAGAGTGCTGAAGAGGGCTAAGGACCAGGAGCAGAAACGATGGCTGGGTTGCTCCTCCGTTATACTGGGCAAGCCAATACCAATTTAAATTCCCGTGCAGTCCTGCCTCAATCTAACAAACTCAGCGAGCATGGATTCAAGCCAGTGAGTTTCTGATCAGTAATCTGCAGCTCTGTCCAGCACAGAGAAAAATTTGGAGGAGTTAAAACAAAAGTCAGATATAGAAGGCAAGGAATTACTAATAAAAGCTTACCTGATGATATATCCTACAAGATGATCAGTATGTGGCAGTACAAACAGAGACTTTCCTGACAAGTCGCACGCATTGCACAATGCTGCTGCCCTCTCGGAAGCAATTAAATCCTCCCCTGTGCATGATAAAATGGAGAACTAGAATGAAACAGTCTTAATGCAAGCAAACTGTTTTGCTGAAATTCTGAAAAAAAATGACTCTTGTTTATGGAGATTTTAAAGAGCAATATTTAACATGGATTAAATGTAACAGAATAAAAAGTCTTACTGCTTGTTCAACTACTTCAACATTCAATTCAACATTAGAAATTTGAAAAAAATCACGTTTGACCATTATTTTGAAAGCTGCAATTCTCACAATGTGTCAAAAAGCCTTCTTATATGCTGTAAAACTACTTTACCTCAGAAGATAGTAACCACACAAATAAAGTCCTGGCTTCAATCTAATGCATCTACACTTAGTTTTCTGGCTCCATTTCCACCTACTTGAAATTTTAATTAAAATGCTGAAGTCAACAATAACAAATTACAAGTCATAATACTTCTTGAACAGTATGTATGTTTGCAATCTATAAAGGCCAACAAAAATGTAAACTTTCTTTTGTTAGAAGAATGTGGACATAAAATACCTGGAGGTAAAGGGGTTTTCTTCTGTATTAGCACGACTGCAACCTTTGCATTCCTTCCCTGCAAACTCTGCCTGCAACAGAAAACAGCCATGTAAGAATCTATACATTCAGCAAATCACACATCTACGTTCATGTACAATTAAGAAAACAAAGTTAGGCTGTACCCCAAAATAGACCAGCATAACAGAGATAAGAGAAATTGAATAGAACAAAATAAAATTAGGACACCTTACAAAGCTTTGGCCACAAAGCAAATGTACTTACTGTACAGCTCATACTGATCTCCTCTATTGTACTGACATTCCATTATTTCCACTCTGTGCTTAGATTTCCTTTCCAGACTTTTTTTTCTACAATCCTTAGCAAAAGTCAACACCAGCCAATTGTTGCTATGAATGTAAAACTATTCAGTGCTCTTACTATGGACACAATTCAAGATTCAATACCATTGTAATTGTCTTCAAGCCTAAAAATATTACAATCATCAGTACAGAAATGAAGAAATACAATTTATTTTGGCCAATTTTCCGCCTTCTCTGAGGTATATTTCCACCGGTCTCAACTACCCTTAGGTACATTAAAAAGAGATCACACTGTTGCATATTGTTTTAAGACTAAATTGGCAACTGGACATTGACCAATAAGAAGCAAGCAGCAAGCATAAAAGGATTCTGTAATGTCACTGGGAAGAGTGTTGAAGTGTATGGTTAAAATAAAGGAGCTATTGAATCTAAACTGTGTTGGGGATTGACAAGTAATACACATGCATAATGAAACTATATCAACAAATTGCAATTCTAGTTAGCATCTTTTATATTTGGAGAATATCTGATACTTTACACAGACAGAATGTGAGCCTGAGTTGGGAGCAAAATTTGAGGTGGGGGCTGAACTCACAAGTAACGATATAGATCTGAAAACAGGGAGGAGGCAAGGTGGAAGGATTTCAGGCAATTCCAGAGAGAGTTGCTAAGGGAGTCAGGTCTTAGATGGCCGACAGGGTGCAGCAAGGCCATGGGTTATTTGAAGGCAAGGATGAGGATTTTGTTGATTCACTACTGGATTGGGAGCTAGTGGAGTTGGGCGAGGATAGAAGGGTTGGGCTTGTGGTGGCTAGTGTGGTAGATGATGCAGGTATGGAGTTTTCGATGATCTGGAGCCTGTAGTGAGTGGAGATGGGCTTTGGGAAAATCAAAACTGGAGATGACAAAGGTGTCTATGAGGTTTATGGCTGCATTTGAGTGAGGTGGTATTGTTGAAGGCAGGCAATATTGCAGAGATGAAAGTAAACTTGGTCAGAGCCCAGATAAAAGGCTTAAAGGAGAGTTGCAAACTGAACAAAATACCAAGGTCTGCACAGGCTGTGTGAGTTGGAGTTAGCAACTGGGAAGGTCAATAAGGTAAGCGCCTGCCTGAGGTGAGGAGGTACTGACAGGAGCTGAGCAGGAAAGCCTCAGTTTTCTTGATGCTGAGTTGGAGATGTAAACAGAAATAAGAAGCCAATGTTCATACTAAGATGCGACATTAAATGATGTAAAGAATGATACATGTCAAGCATTACACTTGTATAGCAGTGAAAAGAGTTAAATTAAACTTCGTATCGGACTGACTTAAAGGTGAAAGACACCAAACTTTAAATCATGTGCTGGACCAATAGAAAAGTACAGGCATACTTGCACAAAATTGTGAAGCGCTTTGCCAATCTTGCGGGAAATTGTAGAGGACTTTGCTGAATTTTGCAGCGAAAATTGCGGGGGTTGGTTGGTCCTGTTGAGGTACATTTTACTGCTACATTTTTTCACTTTGATAAAAACTAAACATAAGGAAGTAACACACACTAGATTGTTCTTTGACAAAAACTGGGCAGCCATTTTTTGGGGGGCAGGGGAGGGCACCGCGCACAGAGTCGGAGATTCAGAGACACACAGAGAGAGACCAGAGAGAGAGACACACGCACACTCACAGACACAGGGAGAGACATACAGAGAGAGACATACACTCAGAAAGAGACACATACTCACAGAGAGAGATACACACTCACAGACCCAGAGATACACACACTCAGAGACGCAGAGTGACACAACACACAGATTCAGAGGCACAGTGAAAGTCACATAATCACAGAGAGAGAGATACACACACTCACAGACACACACACATTCACATACACTGAGAGATATACACACACACTCAGACACAGAGAGATACAGAAAGACACACACTCACAGACAGAGATACACACACACAGATACAGAGAGACACACACTCACAGACAGAAGAGATACACACACACACAGAGAGACACACAGAGAGATACATGGAGACACAATACACAGAGAGAGACAAACAGAGAGACACATTCTCAGAGAGAGAGAGACAAACTCATAGACATAAAGAGACATACACACAGAGACACATTCACACAGAGACACTCAAACACACACACATACACAGAAGAGACACAGACAAACTCACACAACAAAGGGACTCCGAGTGTAGTCCATTTGCTGGTTGCGCGTCCAGAGCCGCTCACAGTGACGTCAGGTAAACAGCGCGAGACACTTGTGGCGGGTTTGTAGTGGGCGAGGTCCGCTGTTGCCAGAAAATGCGGGGGAAGTGCAACCACACTTTTCTATTGGCCCAGATCATGGGGAATAAACTATTCACCATCTCCATGCTGCTCACCACACATGATTGTAAGGAAAAGTAAGATCACAGAAAAGAGAAAGGTGATGTTCGAGAATCGTTTCAAGCAATTATTACCCCGGAGGCCAGATATGGAGGGTTGCTAAATAGGGTTTCATTACATTCATAAATAAATATAAGCGACGTTCATCAATATAAAACTCAAGTACCTGACAATTTCTACTCTGGTAGCACATTCAGACTGTTTTTCTTTCCACTGGGGTTCGTCCCAGTCTAGTTCATAGAAGACCACCACTAATGCAGGAACTAGGTTCAGGTGCTTGTTCATCCAGCCAGTTTTGAGAATTCCTTTTGGAATGTACCACTCATAAGACATCCTCTGTTGAAGCAAAAAAATAAGATCATGTTGAGTCAAACAACAACACAAAATTACATTTGTAAAGCACCTTTCATGCCAGGAGGCGCTGGACAGAGTTACAGACACGAACTCGGGGTTGAGGTGTGGGAGGGTGGAGTGCAGAGGGTGGGTGTGGGGGGGGCAGTAGGGTGATCAAAAGCACGGTCGAAGAGGAGGATCTCGAGACTGGTCTTGAAGGTGGCAAGAGAAGGGGTGAGGAGGGACTGTGTGATGGAGTTCCAGAGAGTGGGGGCAGAGTGGCAGAAGGCCCGTCTGCCAATGGTGTGACACTGGGGATGTGAAGCAGGCCGGAGCCGGCTGAGCGGAGAGAGCGGGCAGGATGGTACGGGGTTAGGAGGTCGCAGAGGTAGGGTGGAGCAAGGCCATGGACGGCTTTGAAGGTGAGGACCAGGATCTTGAACTGTATCCTCTGTGCGATAAGAAGCCAATGGAGTCGGGGAAGGATGGGGTTGATAGGGTCACGGAGCCTGGTGTGGGAGAGGACACAGGCTGTAGAGTTCTGGATGATCTACAGTCTACGAAGGGAGGAGTTCGGGAGACCGACAAGCAGAGAGTTTGAGTAGTTGAGCCTAGATGTTATGAATGAGGGTCTCGGCAGCCTGCTGTGTGAGACAGTGGCAGAGCCGGGCGATGTTGCGGAAGTGAGGCAAGGCAAAGCGGGACATGGTGCGGATGTGGGGTAGGAAGGATAGTTGAGCGTCAAACAAGATGCCAAGGTTCCAGACTGGCTTAGTAAGGTGGAGTTGCATCCTTGGATGGTGATGCTGTCAGCGCCTGAGGTGTAGAGGCGCTGACGGGAGCCAATCAGGAGAGCCTCGGTCGTGTTGAATTGCAGAAAGTTATCTCTCATCCAAGACTTGATGTCTAACAGACAGCAGTGGTCCTGGAATCGAGGGTGGAAGCAGACAGATACAGTTATGTGTCATCCACATACAGGTGGAAATTGACCCAATTCACCAAGAGGGATCATATAGATATAGAAAAGGAGGGGACTAAGGACAGAGCCTTGAGGTCCCCTCCTCAAAACCCAACCCCATATTTGATTCAATTCATCAATCACGCTTTAACGAGAAAGCACAAGGATATTAAAAATCCTGGCTCATTTCCTCCCTTCAGTAGCTTAAGAATGGTGAAGCCAACTCCAACATCCTCAATGAATAAGGTTCAAAACTTTGGCATTTTGCATGTAGCCATCGGGTGTCCATTGGCTATGAATACATTTCACAGCAAAAAATCTGAAATTAAGCATATCTGCAACAAGCTTCAAATCTAAAAACAATGTCCACACACGATCTTAACAACTCAATGAAATACAACAATTAATGCACCAATCGTATTGCATGAGTAAGATGCAGATTTAATCCCTTACAGTATTAATGTCTCCAACCAGGAATACATAAAAATGTCATGATGTTTAGAGTATCTTTCAAATAAATCCCTTTACCTTTTGTCTGCACTTTGGGTATTCATGATCACCAGGAAGTACTTTGAATGAAATAGGGACCCTGTCCGCTCGTCGGTTGGCACAAAATGCATCCCAAATGGCTCGATGCACAGCATTATAAATCACATCAAGACCAGTTAGAGCTACAAAAGCCATTGGTCGGCAACAGAGCTCCAGAGGAAAATCCCATTGTGTTGAACTCATTGTGAGACATTAAACTTGACAACCTGAAATGCACAAGAAAGCAGAAAGTTAATTTATGTGAAAGTACAAGATTAATAATAATAGTAAATCTTTCATTTGGTACAGTGCTTGTTACGTGAGGAAGATGTCGCAAAAGTGCTTCACAGGATATATATTGAGTGACCAAGCATTTTGGGGGCAAACTAGTGGGCTTAAGTAAAGATAAGATTATTCTAGTGGTAAAGGTTAACATTCTTTAATTTGGCTGTGTTTCAAAACTACTGTTTTAGTATTAAGAATTTAACTTTATTGGATTTTTAGGTAGATGAAACAAGGAAGAAATCCATACATACAGACTTAAAAACAACTGAAATACAACAAAGTGACAAAGAAAAAGATACCATTACAACAAATTACATTTAGATAGCATTTATCCTAAATGTTAGCACAATCATCCACAAAGGGCAAGTAACTTCCTAGTTTTATTTAATCAAACTGAATGTTACAATTCTTGCTCCCAATAACTTGTCTGCCCCCTCCAAATCCTATCAATGACCAGGCTGGCTGGTCTGTCCTCAGCAGTATTCAAGAGCACTGTTAACCCGCCTGGCTCAGCAACCAGACAACTGAGACCGAAGCAAAGGCTTCTGATATTCCATTTCCAATCATGTCACCGTGGAACCATTTGAGCCGTAAGGAGATCTCGCTTACCTTTCCTCACAGGACAGTCACAAGTTAGTCATCAGAAATCTGACAAACACAATTCAGCGAGGACACCAGGATCAATACTTACTATTAACAAAAAAGTTCAGATCAGAGGCATAGTGCAGTTATCATTCAGCCAGCAATACACAGGAAACTCCTGATAACTCGGCCCTGACTTAACTTGTCACTGCCACTTAAATCATCATGCGGTCAATATCTCGGTCTCATTTATGTATGTATTTATACATATGCTTAGCACACACATAATAAATTGGCTGCACCATTTGGCCCACAAAACAGTCATCCACTTGACAGTACAGCATATCCTGTGAAAGCTTTGCTACGTCTCAACGCCATGATAAGCGATATCAAACGCAAAGATTATTATTACTGTGATATGATAACATAATAACACACATTTGAGGATCCATAATTGTCCTGTGGCGAGGGTCAGCGGCACAGAACAACCTTCTGCAGTAAATATTGAAATATAAAAACACTGACAGTGTACAACCCCCTCCCCACTCCAACCCCCCCCTCCCCACTCCAACCCCTCCTTCCCCCTCCCCAACCCCTCCTCCCCACTCCAACCCCTCCTTCCCTACTCCAACCCCTCCTCCCCACTCCAACCCCTCCTTCCCCTCCAACCCCCCCACTCCAACCCCCCCACTCCAACCCCCCCCCCCACTCCAACCCCCCCCCCCCCCACTCCAACCCCCCCACTCCAACCCCCCCCACTCCAACCCCCCACTCCAACCCCCCCCACTCCAACCCCCCCACTCCAACCCCCCCCACTCCCCAACCCCTCCTCCCCACTCCAACCCCCCCACTCCAACCCCCCCCACTCCAACCCCCCCCTCCTCCCCCACCCTCTCCTCAACCAAAAACAACTGAGGTTCCCGACAAGATCAGGCCGGGGGAGGGAAGGGGCAGTCGGGAAGATCTCCTTCTCCCCTCCCCAGGGCTTGACCCCCCGCTCCCCCCCGCTGGCCCCCCCGCCCGGCCCCCGCCCCCCCGGGGGAAGCCGCTGTCAGTGCTGCACTGATCACTCACCGCTTCTCTCTCTCTCTCTCCGCTCAGCTGAGGCCGCCGTCGAAATCGCGCGCATGCGTACAGCCTCTCAGCCCCACTGGGATCTGCGCACGCGCTATCTCGCCACAGTGACACCCTTCCCTCCAAGGAAGGGGCGCGGCTATCAGTCTGCGTGTGATTGACAGCCCCACTGATCCAATGGGCCGGCAAGGCAGTGGGAAGGGGAGGAGGAGTGGCTCAAGCTCTTGGCTCCGCCCACGAGAGGTCAGGTGACTGTAAGCAATGTGAGGTCACAATCAAAAGTCCCTGATGCTCCTTGTCAGCGACATGACACGTGTAAAGCGCTTCACACCAGGACCCGAGGCGCTGACACACAGAGTTACAGACCGGGGGGGGGGGCGAAGAGGAGGGTCTTGAGATGGGTCTTGAAGGAGGTGAGGGAGGGGATGAGGCGGAGGGACTGCAGAATGGAGGTCCCGAGGGTGGGGGCGGAGTGGCAGAGAAGGCCCCAATGCCAATGGTGAGCGGGTGAGGCGGGGGACCTGAAGCAGCCGGAGCCCACTGAGCGGAGGGAGCGAGCGGGATGGTAGGGGGTTAGGAGGTCGCAGAGGTAGGGGGGAGCGAGACCGCGGAGGGCTCAAAAGTGAGGACGAGGATCTTGAACTGTGTGATGTTGGGCGAGGATGGGGGTGATAGGGTCAGGGAGCCTGGTGAGGGAGAGGACATGGGCCACAGATTTCTGGATGACCTGCAGCCTATGGAGGTGGGGAGGCTGACAAGCAGGAGTTTGCGTAGTCATGCATGCCTCGAGGGTTTCCACAGCCTGTGGGGCGAGGTGGTGGCGGAGCCGGGCAATGTTGCAGATGTGGGGGAAGGCAGAGCGGCTCATGGCACGGATGTGGGGTAGAAAGGACAGTTGAGGGTCAAACAAGATGTCAAGTTTCCGGACTGGCCTCCTGCCCTCCCCGACCCCCACCCCCAGCTCGGGTCCGTAACTCTGTCTGTCCAGCCCCTTGGGACGTCCTCCCGAGGAGAAAAGCGCTTTACAAATGTCATGTTGTCGTGGTTGTCCTCTGGAGTTGCCTTATTATTATTATTATTATTGCCTTGAGGGGGGGGTGGGGGGAAAGGGGGCATTTTTGCTTTGAAAAGTGCATGTTGTGTCACGTGCTCAGAGGGGGCGGGGTCAAAAGACCTCGGCTGCCGATTGGCGGAACTCCCGGTCCACGTGGGCGTGGCCGGGAAAGGTCAGAGGGTGGAGGTGGAGGGTCAGCGGGTGTCACGGCAACAGCCCTGGGCATGGCGGCGGCTTAGCGGCGGCGCCCGAGAAATCTCCTCTCCCAGGACAGCAGCATGACGGCCAACGAGGATCAGGAGGTGGGCTGTGGCTCAGATAGACAGCCTGAAAGGGGGGGGGGGGAGAGAAAAGGACACAGAGAAGAAGGGGGGCGAGGGGTATCGAGAGAATATATATATAGAGAGAGAGAGAATATATATTTATAGAGAGAGAAGGGTATAGGGAGAGAATATATATATACAGAGAGAGAGAGAAGGGTATAGAGAATTATGTATATATCGAGAGAAGGGTATAGAGTAGATATGTAGAGAGAGAAGAGTATAGAGAGAATATATCTATATAGAGAGAAGGGTATAGAGAATATATATATAGAGAGAATGGTATAGAGAGAGAAGGGTATAGAGAATATATATATAGAGAGAGAAGGGTATAGAGAGAGAAGGGTATAGAGAGAGAAGGGTATAGAGAGTATATATTTATACAGAGAGAGAAGGGTATAGAGTATATATATAGAGAGAAGGGTATAGAGTATATATATAGAGAGAAGGGTATAGAGTATAGAATATATAGAGAGAATGGTATAGAGAGAATATATATAGAGAGAGAAGGGTATAGAGTATATATAGAGAGAAGGGTATAGAGAGAATATATATATAGAGAGAAGGGTATAGAGAATTATATGTATATATAGAGAGAGAAGGGTATAGAGAGAGTATATATTTATATAGAGAGAGAAGGGTATAGAGTATATATAGAGATAGAATGGTATAGAGTATATATATAGAGAGAAGGGTATATAGAGAATATATAGAGAGAAGGGTGTAGAGAGAATATATACACATAGAGAGAAGGGTATAGAGTATATATATATAGAGAGAATATATATAGATAGAGAGAAGGGTATAGAGAATATATAGAGAGAGAAGGGTATGGAGAATATGTATATATATAGAGAGAGAAGGGTATAGAGCGAATATATATATAGAGAGAGAGAAGGGTATGGAGCGAATATATAGAGAGAGAAAGATAGAGAATATATATATAGAGAGAGGGAGAGAAAGGTATAGAGAGAATATATATTATATATAGAGAGAAAGGTATAGAGAATATATATAGAGAGAAGGCTATAGAGAGAATATATATAAAGAGAGAAGGGTATAGAGAGAATATATATAGAGAGAGAGAAGGGTGTAGAGAGAATATGTACACATAGAGAGAGAAGGGTATAGAGTATATATATATAGAGACGGGTATAGAGAGAATATATATAGATAGAGAGAAGGGTATAGAGAGAATATATATAGAGAGAAGGATAGAGAGTATATATATATAGAGAGAGAGAAAGGTATAGAGAGAATATAATATATAGAGAGAAAGGAATAGAATATATATTATATAGAGAGAGAAAGGTATAGAGAATATATATACATAGAGAGAGAAAGGTATAGAGAGAATATATATATATAGAGAGGGAAAGATATAGAGAATATATATAGAGAGAGAAAGGTATAGAGATAATATATATACAGCGAGACAAAGGTAGAGAGAATATGTATATACAGAGAGAAGGGTATAGAGAGAATATATGTATATATAGAGAGAAGGGTATAGGGAGAATATATATGTGTATAGAGAGTGAGAAGGGTATATAGAGAGAATGTATATATACAGAGAGAATATAAGTGTATATATAGAGAGAGGGGTACAGAGAGAGAGTGAAAGGTACAGAGAGAATGTATATTATATATAGAGAGAAAGGTATAAAGAGAATATATATATACAGAGAGAGAAAGGTATAGAGAGAACATATACATATATACATATATATATAGAGAGAAAGGGGTAGAGATAATATATATAGACAGAGAGAAAGGCATAGAGAGAGTATATATTATACACATAGAGAATATATATAATAATTCTTGCATTTGATATAACTATATATCTATATATCTCTTCACGTCTTCTAGACATCTCAAAACGCTTAACAGATATATATATAGAGAGAGAGAGACATAAAGGTGTGTTTATATATATATACATTATATATTTTATTTATTATAATATGTAATATATAGTATATTTACATTTGTATAGCGCCTTTCACGTCAGGAGGACGTCCCAAGGCGCTGAGACATCTCAAAGCGCTTTATATATATATATAAATAGAGAGAGAGAGAAAAGTATAGAGAGAAAAGGTATAATAATAATAATCCTTGCATTTGATATAGCGCTTTTCACATCATCTAGATGTCTCAAAGCATTTATATAGCATTTACATTTGTATAGCGCCTTTCACGTCAGGAGGACGTCCCAAGGCACTGAGACATCTCAAAGCGCTTCATAGAATATATTGTAAAGTGAATTGACTGTATATTTTGTGGGCGAAACGCAGCAGCCAATTGCGCACAACATTGTCTGACAAACAGCCATGGACTGAGTGACCAATTTTTAAAAAAATATTTTTGTATAGAGAAAGAGAGAAAAGTATAGAGAGAGAGAAAAGATATATATGCACACACACACATAATATATATATACACACACACACGCAAAGTGCAATCCCAAATTACATTTGTAAAGCATCTTTCACATCGGGAGTACATCCCAAGGTGCTGAACAGTAAGGGATTAAGACCTACCTTGTGCGGATTTCTGTGGGTGTCAGACTGACAATTAAAAAAAGCTTGTTTGATTGGCATATTTCTACAATTAAAGGAGAGTGTTTTCATGAGTTTGCAATTTAAATACTCATCAATTTCTTGCTCCCATCAAATATCCCATTGTGGTGAGGTATTTACTTCAGCTTGGATCAAGATTATGAAATAACCAAACTATAACTTTTTTTAATTTTCAGATGGAGCTTGAAGCTTTGCGCTCCATTTATGAAGGTGATGAATGTTTCAAGGAACTCAGCCCAGTATCTTTTCAATACAGGGTAAGGTATTCATAACAAAGCTAATTGAATTGAACCTTAAGCTGCAATGATTATAAATGGAAAAATAATATTAAGCTTTGTCTTCGTTGATATTCTCATTTTTGAATTGCTTCACCTTTCAGTAAGTTGATTTTTGAAGGTGAAGAGATGAGATGGAATAGCTATCTTTCTTGCTCTCTTCCTCCACACCCCCACCCCCTATCCTAATTTTACTGGTATCTCAAAAAAAACACTCCTTGATGGCCATTTTTCACAGATGTTTAAACTGCATGTTTCCATGGTTGGTTCCATGACTGCATAATAGAAGCTCTGCTCAGCTTGTAGGTATGTCCTTTCCCACTTTTCCCATACGAGACAAAACATTTTTTGTCAGGATAAGGAATATCACTCCAGGGGCAGGTTTGGAGGTTCGAAGTGAAAACATAACATGCTACAACCTAATATTAATGGTGAATAATAGAACAGAAACAGAACAGTTTTGTTTTATTAAAAGAAGGCTGCAGTTCTTATTCACTGAGACATTTTTTATTTCCATTTGTAACCAGTGTGGAACTTATTTAACTCCACTTGTGGAGTCCTGTAGAGTATTGGTTAGAGCACTCACCTTGCAAGCCTGAGGACCTGGGTTTGATTCCCGGGCTGAAACTTTGAGCACACGCGTTCTCCACCTGCCTCTGTTTACCAAGCAGTAAGTAGGAACCCGGTTGTTGCTTAATTGGTGGATCGCTTTTCCTAGGGTAGTAATGCCTTTTTTTTAAAAAAAAATGGTCACTCAATTCACGACAGGGACACTGCTGTATGTAATTGGCCTGCGTTTCGCTCACAAAATATAGTCAGTTCACTTTATGGTAAATTCTGTGAAGCACTTTGAGATGTCTCGGAAGACGTGATAAGACGCTACATCAAATGCAAGTATTATTATTTGTGTCTGGTTTGAAAATATTTTGCTTTAGCTGACCAGTGAGTGTTGCCCTGTCCATTCTTGGACATTACATGACTGCAGGGGTTGGCGTACTGGGTCATTTGCATGGGTTTTTTAATTGCTCATAGCAAATGTGTCCTTTGCTTTCACAGATTACTGAAAACAAATTCTACTAGTAAAAACAATGTGGTTATCTTGTATTGCTTGTTTAAGCAAATTCTGTTTTCATATCCTTAAAAACTATATTTTAACTTATCACCATGAGGGTTTCTATCCGTGCCATTTATTTGATACTTTTTCTTTCTATTTCGTTTTAGATAGGTGACCTTGAAGACACTAAAGCTTTCTTACTGGAATTTTCATGGACTGAAACATATCCAGAAACTGCTCCTAACATATCAATGGATACATTCTTCAATAATAACATGTAAGAGGTTACATATTTACCAAAATATTACTTTTCTATATGTCTTTGGAATGTATTTTAATGATTATAATTATTTTAAGATGTGTACTTTGTATATTTTTAAAAAAGTAAATCAGAACTTACGATTGTGCAGTAAATGGTGTGGACAAGTGTCTTTGATTTAATTCTGGCTCCGGTACTAAATTTTTAAAACATTCAGTCTAGTCTACCAGCAGTCATTGTAGATCCATATCTGCTGTACTTCATTACGATTGACAACTCCTGCTAAGAACCAACCTACTCTTATTGTACATGCGGTCAAAAAGCAGGTTTGGACGCTTTGCCTACTTTACATAGCAACAGTTTGAGTTAGGAGCAGACCATTGGTACAACGAGCATTCCTATCCAACTTCCCACAAGAATCCTTTTTGTATCTATCTCTAAATCTGATAACCCTGAATGTTTTGCTTGTCTAGTTTCATATTATTTAATAGTTTATTGTTCTACCATCTGTGTTTGCAGTTTGTTCTGCATTATCCTGTCTTATGTTGAAGTTATGACCTCTTAAATTGGTATCTATTTTCTCCCTTTCTTCCCATCCCACAAAAGAGAAATCTTGCTTCTCTGGAAAGGTGAATAAATAATTTGCTTATACTTGTATCATATTTGGACAGGATTAAACTAAAACACAAGGTTCTTATTAACATGGCAGAGAATTTGACAAAATTAGATTTTAAGTATAGCCTACTAATTGAACTAGAACTGATAATATACGTATCTGAAATAATTGCTAATTTACCAAGTCTCTTGTGAAGACCATTTTTATTTTAGTCTACTTTTTAAAATCTTTGCAAACTTTCCTAAATCGTTTCTAATCTGGTATGTGTTTTTGATAAATTGATATAAGCTTGTCCACTCTTCAGTTCTTCATCAGTGAAACAAAGTATAATAGCCCAGCTGAATGAACAGGTTGAAGCAAACCTGGGAACTGCCATGACTTACACTTTGTTTGAATGGGCCAAAGAAAGCCAAACACATCTTATGGAAAGTCATCAGCCAGTTGTCAATACAGGGGTAAGTTTAAATGTGATGTCTGAGATTAATTTGTCCATCATTGGTAAGGTATCCTTCAACCAAGAGTATTCTGCGGTTAATTGACAAATTCACCTGTGAAATCTTGAAGAAACATTAGAAAATAATTTAAAAAATTATACTGCTTGCATTTGATATAGCACCTTATCATATCTTCAAGGCATCTCAAAGTGCTTCACAGAATATACTGTAAAGTGGATTGACTGTGTATTTTGTGGTTGAAACACGGCAGTCAATTGCGTACAGAGGTGTTCCAAAAACAGTCGTGGATTGAGTGACAAAACTTATTTTTAAAAATAATTTTTTGAAGGAATTACCTCTGGAAAAGCGATCCACCAATCTACTACCAGCCAGGTTCCTACTTGCTGCTAGGTAAACAGGCATGTGGAATAAGGAAACTTGCCTAAAGTTTCGCCCTCCCTGAAAATCAAACCCAAGTACTCTTGCTTGCGAGGCAAGTGCTCTAACCACTGAGCTGCAGGACTCCACAAGAAAATGTCGGATACCTTTTGGTTAGGAAGTGAAGAAATTGATGGAAGGAGTATCAGTCTGGTGGTTGGTGCCTGTCTGCTGTATTGCCTGATGTATTAATCACAGAGATCACAAAATAGAAAGCTGTGACAAGTTTGAGGAGTTTTGATGCAACTTTTTGTTACATTCAGATGATGTCAACTGAAAATGCTGTAGTAATTAATGATTCTACATCAAAGAAAAAGGAGAAGAAAGAGCAGCTGACAAAATCCCAGAAAAGGAAGTTGGCTGATAAGACAGGTTTGTAAAGATAACACTGGTTAAATCTTAAAACTTGTAATTGACGATCTGTGTTTGTGTATGAGTGTGAGGACTCAGAAACTAACAGATACAATAGAAACCTAGGCCTTCTATTCCAATTCTTCCACAATGTTTTTGTTGGCAGAGGAGAAGATTTGTAGTGTTTAAAATAAGTACCTTATTCTTGTGTATATTGCAATTTGTATAGCAGAACATTTTAGAAAGACCATGACAGACAACAAGCAAATTGGAGGGAGTGGGGTCATGGATGAAGAGGGAGGTCGTGGGTATGGAGGGAGGTGACCATAAACACAGTCAAAGAGTTAGTTTTTTAACGTGGCTTTTGAAGATAGAGAGATGAAACGTGGAGTGGTTGAGGAAGGAAGTGCTAAAGGGTGGGAACATAGTAGCTAAAGCTTTGGCCATCAATAATAATAATATTACAGCACAGAAGGAGGCCGTTTTGCCCATTGTGTCTGTGCCAGCTCTTTGGAAGAGCTACCCAATCAGTCCTACTCTCCCGCACTTTTCCCATATCCTTGCAAATTTTTCCTGTTCAAATACCTATCCAATTCCCTTTTGAAAGTTATTTAAATTTTTTCCACCACCCTTTCAGGCAGTGCATTCCAGACCGTACTGTAAAAAATTTCTCCTCATCTCCCCTCTGGTGCTTTTGCCACTGTTAGGGGAGGGGACATGAAGCAGGCTCAGGTTGCCAGCCCTATTATCCACAAGCTCCAGTTCATCCAAAATTTGGCCACAAATATCTTCACCCACAATAAACATTGCTGGCTTATCACACCAGTCGCCACTGTCACCCAGGAGATTGATTTTGAAATTCTCACTCATCTGTCCCTACCTCTGTTACCTCCTTCTGCTTGGCCAACTCTGGTCTGCTGTGTGTTCATCGACCCTCCATTCACAGCTAAGCTTTTAGCCATTATATTCCTACATAATCTGGAACTCCCTCCACTTCTACCCCTCGATTCTTTAAGCACCTTTTGAAAACCTACTTCTTTGACTATGTCAGTGTCCCACCTTAAAAGGCAATATATAACTGCGAGTTGTTGTTTATGGTTCTTAATTCAAATAGTCATTTAATCCTTTGTTTCCTTTTCTCTTTAGATAACAGAGGAGAGCTTCCACGAGGATGGAATTGGGTGGATGTTATTAAGGTAATAATTTTGAAGTTTGTTCTAATAAACACAGCCATTTTGAGGACCATTGAACCGTTTTTCGCAGCTGCATATCAACTATGGTTGACCATAGTGTCTGAATGTGAAGACAGTTTTGAAGTATCTTTTTTATTTAACACAAAAAAAATATTTAGACAAAGTAATGTATTTTAAAACTTGTATACAAAATAGTATGTAGTTCAGGTATATATACTATCAACTAGGATTAAAATGTTTGAATTTAAGTTACTAATTATATGTTGTTGTCTCCAAAACAAAATCTGCTGATGGCCAATGGATAAACATGTTCCTGTATGAACAGCATGTGAGTTTGAATTTAATTTGATTTTGACTTTCCACAGACCATGTAACTTGGCTTGAAAAGCTGATCCATTTACTGTAGTATCAAATATCTATCATTCTTTTGAATGCCTAAATTGACTCAACACCTAGAGTGAAGAGTCATTCCTTATTTGTCAATAGAGTTCATTATTCTGAACATCTTAACCAGGTCACCCCTTAACCTTCTGAACTCCAACAAATATAAACCCCACTTCACACAGCCTTCTAGCAAAAGCCTTCTCCCTAATTCCATCCAGACAATTTTCATTTTTCATCTTTTGAAGGCTGCTACAATGTGGTTTAATACATTATCTGAACTATACATATATGCGCCTGGAATATAAAGAAGAGGAAATGATGTTTCAGCTGTATAGAGCCTTGATCAGTCCCCATTTGGAGTACTGCATTCAGTTTTGGGCACCACACCTCAGGAAAGATACATTTGCCTTGGATGGGATGCAGCACAGATTCACCAAAATCATATCAGGGCTTAAAGGGTTAAATTATGAGGACAGGTTGCATAAATATGGTCTTTATTCCCTTGAGTTTAGTGCATTAAGGGGTGATCTGACTGAAGTGTTTAAAATGATAAAGGGATAGCTACAGAGAAACTATTTCTTCTGGTGGGGAATCCAGAATAAGGGCCATAATTTAAAAATTAGAGCTAGGCCATTTAGGAGTGAAATCAGGAAGCTTTGTTTTATGCAAAGGGTAGTGGAAATCTGGAACTCTCTCCCCCAAAAGGCTGGAATGCTGGATTCATTCAAATTTTCAAGACTGAGGTGGATAGATTTTTGTTAGGTCAGGGTATCAAGGTATATGGGGCAAGGATGGGTATTTGGAGTTTAAGTACAGATCAACCATTATCTAATTGACGGAACAGGCTCAAGGGGCTGAATGGCCTCCTGTTTCTACATTCCTATATCAGCTGTCCCACCAAAGTGGGCTATTTTATTTTCTACATCTCTTGTGAAGACGTTTGATTTTTGTTTATCTTCCACTGGGGTATCCAGTGGAGTCCTGTTTTAAGGCACATTTTGGGGTCGACCCTGCCTTATAACGTTATAAGGCAGGGTCGACCCCAAAAAATGTCTGTTTGTGGGATATTACTGTGTACAAACTGATGCTGAACCTTAAAAATATTCAAATCTATTTTTCATCTTTCTTATTTTTAATTTGCAGTTGAGCAAAACAGGCTACAAGGATGATGAATGACAGGGTTTCAGAACTGGATCCAAATAAACCTGGAGAATCTGTTTCGTTTTGCTGGAAAGTGTGTTAATTTTCCTCAGTGTGTCTTTACAGAAAAATGTTTTTATAAACAGTAAAATGGCAGCATTTGTGTGTTTTGGTATGAAATCACTGAGTGCTCTTTATTTTTCTACTCACTGATAGAGTTGCTGATTCTTATAGACTAGTTGTACCCGTTGCAGCTGAGCTTGCGCCCAAAGCATCCAATGTAGATTGACACAGACAAACACGCAGACAGACATTTCATCTTTATACTCATCTAGTAGGACTCCTATGGGAGAACTCATTTTGCTTTGCTGTTCTTTGAGTGGGCAACTCATTTTGGTGCGCCGTTTAGGTCATTTCAGCATTGAAGTTCAGCCGCGCTGTTCTTTGTTTTTCAGTTTCATTTAATGGGTCTTTTGACTTGCATTTTTACTTATTCTTGAAAGGTTTGATTTTTCGCTTAGGCATCTTTATAATGATTAATCTAAATGTATAATTTATAATCATTGGGACGTCCTCCCGAAGTGCAAGATGCTTTAAAAATATAATTTTGTTGTAGCCCCAGCTTAGCTTCTTCTGTGTTCTTTATTTTGTTCCTGCTGCCACTTGGCTATGTGCATGCTCTGTGACGCAAGATGCCACAGCGCCACAATCAGCCGGTCCGGCCACTAGGTGTAACTGCAGTGCGTGCTTATATACGATGCCACAGCACCACTATGACTTGGCGGCCACCAGGTGTAACCAGCAAAAAATGTTAAACTGAAATACATTTTAGGTCATAACTCATAAAAGATAGGCGATGCCTATGTCACTCCCAGTTGCAAGACTTTCTGATGAGGTATACATCATGTCTCTACGTCAATCAGTTATTGAGAACCTGAAGCGCAGACAGACATTGTTGTTCTATTAGCATAAAGAAGTGAAGATGTAATCCAGTTTCACCAAATAAATCAAATAGTGCCAGCCCTGGTTGTACCCTTTGCCAAGTGGTGAACTTAAATTGTGGCTTCCAAAAACGGTAGTCAGTTAGCAGCATATTAAGGAGTGAATGCTTTGATTCAGCTTAATTTCATGGTAAAACAAAAGTTCAGTATTTTATTGAGCGTGGCAAAAAGAGTGTTTCAGCACATCTGTAATTGTACAGTTCATTTTGCCATTTTAATAGGAAGCGGTAGTCCTGGAGTAATCTAAGTTCCGAGACTTGTGTGAAATACGCTATACAAATGAAAGCTGTTGTACTCATGGACTGCCCCGAGGTTCTGTCACCCTGTATGATGACTTGAGGAAAATCAAATTAATATTCAGGGTTTTAATAAAGCTTTATTATTTATGAATTAAATTAACTTTTTTGAAGTTGTACATGTGTTGCCATATCGGTCATTTAAACTAGGGCTTGCTGGATTGTACTTGGAACGTACTGTATCAACTACTTTGATATGAATCTGTAGATTAATGTAGAATTATTGTTGCATGCTTTTTCACTATAGTTCCTTCCTTATGAACTGTTTCAGTTATCTCCTGTGCATTTTTAAAAAAATATACCACTGACTAAAACAATATGTGCCTTTTGTATAGTGCATTAACTTCAACAACAACAAATTACATTTGTATAGCGAGTAGGGGTAGGGGGTGACCGCAGGCATGGTTGAAGCGGAGGATCTTGAAGGAGGCAAGGGAGGGGTTGAGGCGGAGGGACTATGGGATGGAATTCCTGAGGGTGGGGGCAGAGAGGCTGAAGGCCCACTCGCCAATGGTTGGCAGGGCGAGGGGGAGTTGAAGTAGGCCGGTGCCTGCTGAGTGGAGGGAGTGGACAAGTTGGTAGAGGGTTAGGCGGTCACAGATGTAGGGAGGAGCAAAGAGTGGAGGGTTTTAAAAGTGACCAGGATCTTGAATTGAGTGAGGGGGAATCAGTAGAGCCAGATGAGGATGGGGTCGCAGAGCCTGGTGCAGGAGAGGACACGGGCTCTGTGACCCTATCAGCCCCACCCTCGCCTTACTCCACTGCTTCCCATCACACAGAGGATACAGTTCAAGATCCTGGTCCTCACCTCAAAGCCCTCCATGGCCTCTCTCCCCCCTACCTCTGCGACCTCCTAACCCTCTACCATCCTGATTGCTCCCTCAGCTTTGTGGGCTCCTGCCTGGTTCACATCCCCCGCCTCGCTAACCCACTATTGGCGGGCGGGCCTTCAGCCATTCTGCCCCCACCCTCTTGAACTCCGTCCCGCAGTCCCTCCATCTCTCCCACCCCTTGCCTCCTTCAAGACCCATCTCAAGACCCTCTTTGACTGTGCTTTTGATCTTCTTGATTCCCCCCTGCCCTCCACCCCCCCACCCCCCCCCCACCTCCCCACCCCCCATCTCGGGTCCGAAACTCTGTCCGTCCAGTGCCTTGGGATGTCCTCCCAACGTGAGAGGTGCTATACAAAAGTAATTTTGTTGTTGTTGGAGACTCGAGTATGCATTTGTATATTGTTGGAGTTTAACTAGCAAAGCCTGCAAGCATTCTTATAATTAACTATAATTTTGAAATCACTTTTCTTGGGCAAAACCGTACTGCAACTTTTTACATTGAATTATTGTGGGGAAATTGCACCGCATATAGATTTACCCGATGCTCCAACACTTCATTACTATTTGAAACCATTGACAACTGAAGTTGGTCATCTTGAAGTTTGTGAAAATACTTGAAAAACTCTGAAATGGTCTTTTTCTTAAGACTTTGTGAACCAATTTGATGCCAGTTTTTCACTATAATGGTACATTTTTTTTATAAACAAGATTTCAGTACCTTATGTTACTTTAGAACACTCAAAAATCTGAACTAATGGGAGTCCTGTAGCTCAGTGGTTAGATCACTCGTCCTGCAAGCGAGACACCTGGGTTCAATTCCAGGCAGGGCGAAACCTTGGGCAAGTTTCCTTACTCCACACACCTAATAATAATCTCCAAAAAACAATAATTGGTCATTTTCAATCCATGACAGTTTGTGGGACACTGCTGTGCACAATTGGCTGCTGCATTTCTCCCACAAATATACAGTCAATTAACTTTACAACATATTCTGTGAAGTGCTTTGAGACATCGAGAAGATGTGAAAAGCATTATATCAAATGCAAGGATTATTATAAATGTAAGTCTATTGCCTGCAAGAGAAAAATGAACATTTCAGATACCTTTAGGACACTTTTTCCGAACATTGTTTCCCTAATTTTATTTTTATAAGGCATTGGAATCACTCTTTGTTTCACAACCGTTCCAAGAGGTTCAGTCGACCGCTGGTGTCTCACTATAAATGGTCATTATTCATGCCTTGACTGGATGTTGGCAGGCTAATTTACCACAGGGGAATTCACAGCCAAGCTCAATCCTTTTGCTCACCCAAAGTTCATACGTGTTCACCTTCCAGCAGGAGTCTACAGATTGCAATCAGAGTGGGAAGACTGGATGGTTTCCTTTCCAAAGCTCAGGATCACTGTGGTCAAGTATGCAATATATTGTGGCAGATCCAGGCATTTAAACGTGTAATGTTCATCATCCGATAAATCCCACTTTTTATGTGATACACTTTTATGAAAATATTAATGTGCACAAGTGGCAAATGGGCTACACTCGGAGGCTCGGCTGTTGTGATTGCGTGTGTGTCTCCATGTGAGTCTGTCTGTATCTCTTCTGTATGTGTGTGTGTGTTCATGAGTGTGAATGTGTGTCTCTCTGTCTATGTGTGGGTATCATTGTATCTATGAGTGTGTGTGTCTCTCTGAGTGTATGCGTCTCTCTCTGTGTCTGTGAGTGTCTTTGTCTCTGATTGTGTTTGTCTCTGTGTGTGTCTTTCTGTGAGTGTGTGTCTGTGGGCGTGTGTGTCTCTCTGTGTCTGTAAGTATATGTCTCCCTCTGGATTTCTGTGACTGTGTGCGGTGCCGGCTCTGAGAGGCAGGAGGTAGTGAGCTTCTGTAGCCTTGTTGGTCTTCCCCCCACCCCCAAAAAATGGCCACCCAGTTTTTGTTCAAGAAGCAATTAATAATTTGTTTTGCAACCATCTAGCATGTGTTATTTCCTTATGTTTAGCTTTTATCAATAAAGTAAAAAAAATAGAGGTAAAGTGTACCTCAATAGCACCAATCAACACACTACAAACACCCCCTCCCCCCCGCACATTTCCACAAAATCTGCAAATTTCCCTGCAATTTTGGGCAAATATGTCTGCACTTTTCTATTGGCCCAAGGTGTGATTAAAATCCTGACTTCAGAGTTGCCTAATGGTATACTTCAAAATTTAATGTGATTGAGTGAAGTTTTTTTTGTCATTACAGAAAATCTTAAAGAATATCTGACTTTGTCAACTTTGCCTTTAGAAATGTTTGTACTTTGCTAGACAGCATTAAGAAGGAATTGAGATTTATATTGTTGTCTCCATTTACTCAATAATTCTTATGGAACTCATGCTGAGGTTGGGTGTCAAATGTGTCAGTCTTATCAAAGTGTAGCTACTACTTTAACTTCATTCTCTCCATAAAAGTTCATTAAAATATCTTGTTTTGTTCAGTGAACTTCCTACCATGGGAGCTCCATCACCAAAGCACTGCAGCAATTTGAAGAGAATTTTAAGATTTACAATTTAAAGAATTGAAGGAGAAGTCCCACAACCACTTTGTCAGAGCAACCGGGATAGGCAATCAATGCAGCATCACCCACATTCTGAGACGGGCTTCAACAGATCCCACCCACTCAAAATCTTAAGAGTTTCTTTCATTAGTATTTGCGACATAGGTGCAGCTTAAATAAACTCATCCAAAATCAGCTCATGGTATTTCATATCACCAAGTTTGTCTTAAAATATTTTTTTCATTATTTTCAATCGAACATTTATGGCAGACAATACATCAGTTCTGGGAACAAGCTGAGGAACTAAGTTAACCTGAAACCTTGCCTCTATATGAATGCAATTTATTTGTTTGTTTATTACTCTATTAATAATAGACAACTGTCCCGACCCAACTGTCCAGCACCTTGTGAAAGGCGCTCTATAAATGAAATCTTGTTGTTGTTGTTGTATTAGATCTGAGGATAGGACCTAGATATGTTTTGTAAATTGCTGTTCAGGGATAATATTGGATTTCAGC